ACACCACAGTCTAGGTTTCTATCTGATAAAACCTACCGGACTGAGCGCACGCAAGCCTGCAAGGAGTCCTTCTAGAATCAACCGTCCATCTCACACGTGACATGTCACGCGCACCAATTGCCAGAGAGATCTACGGTCACGTTGGCCACAACATCGTTTAAACTTTTTATGACTGGGCTTCACCAATATTGCAAAGTGCCCTCTCCTAAGAGATCTAAAAAATTGGGTTGTGTGTGTGTTTATACAGCCTAGAACTTGGTCTGCCTCACAGGGGCGACGAGTCTCCCAGCTGTAGATGAGAAATTTAGCCAGTGCGGTGCAGCCGCTAGCCTGGGGTCATTAACGTGCATCACGCAGTAGTGACACACGACCGCACGCCGGTACGATGCTCATCCAGATCGAAACGGGCAGGGGTGGGGGCTCGAACCCAGGATCCCTGGGTTCTGCAGCGCGAGCTTTCGCTCCACGTGCTCCGAGCTGGTGTGCGCTATAGACCACTCGGCCACCGATCCCCCTAAGAGATCTAACCTCCTTCTTCTTCTAAGCGTTGTGAAAGATGGTGGGGGGGGGAGGAGAGGGCCAATAGTGGTTGCGCACCGGGCGCTTGGTCACTGGCTCTCGGGGGGGAGGGGGGTGTGGGGAGAAAGGTTGGGTGTGGAGGGGGGAGATAGAAATAGATTTGTAGAAGGGGAGGGGGGGCGGGCATGTCGGAGTACGCGCGAGGGGGGATTAATTTAGTTGCATCGAATACCGGGTGGCCGGGGATGGGGGGCGGGGGGAGTTGGGGGTCCAGCGCTGGAGGCTGGCACGGCGCGGTGTCCGGCGATCAAGCAATCGTCCGGGGCGACCACGTCGTGTGGTGGGAGGTCCCACTCTAGTCCATCCGCGCCGGAGTCCGGGCGCAAGAAACCGGGCTCCTGTGGTCCCTCTGAACATCTAACCTCCTTGTGAGCGATCGACCGACAGCCAACGGAGCGTGTGAGTGGCTCTCCGGACCCACGTGATGAGCAGAGCAAGGCCGTCGTGGAGTTAGCGAGGGGGGAGATTTGACGGGGGGATATTTCCCCTCGTCGGCCGGAAGCGGAGTGCCGCACGATTTGTCGGAGTCGTGCGTTTTGTAGTATCCTGTTTGGACACCCCTCTAACCATTTCACATTTGCCTGCTTTGCCGTACGCATGACAACTATCGCAGCGCGTTCACTGTCAAAAACGCGACGAGTTAACAACTCTTTCCAAGCAATAACTTTCGCCCTGTTCTGTTGTTGTTTTTTTTTTGTTTTTTTTACATGCCGATGCGTAGACCAATTTACGTCACAACCGTTATTTCATCACGTTGCGAGCCTAAATTTTGCTCCACCCTCCACCGTACGCTGCAGAAACATTTTTTTTAATGCATTAATAAAATGAAGAGGTTTTGAGATTCTCGGAGCGCTCTGAAGCCAGCAGTTGTGATCGGCTGCAAAGGATCCCGAGTAGCTCTGGCGGCGAGGAGGGGCCGCTCTGCTGAATCAAGGTCAGAGGAGTGAGGCGACCACCCGAATTCACCATTATTGTGAAGGGCTTCACCCTGCTTTTATTGATGGTGAGACTGGTTTGATAAAGGCATTGCAGATTTAGTACAGAAAAGGAAAATTAGACTTTAGCAAGGTGGAGTTAACAGAGCAGTTATTTTACTGGTGGCATTAGTCAAGGGAAGAATAAATGCTGTCTTGTTCTTTTCGTGTCAATTCACTGGGCAAAAGGTGTAAAGAGGTGTTTCCATCACACAGGTTGTAATTGCAAGCCACAGTCCGATTTAGAGAGTTAGGCCGTATGCATCCATCCATTTATTCAAATAATGCAATGCGACCTACTTGAACGCGACCATACTTTGGTGAACGGTTGATGTCTGTAACACTCGTCTGGCCTTTCCATGCCCGTTAAACAGAACTCGGGGGTAAGCGATTACCCTACTGAATAACGTAGAAAGCAGACAAACTAGTCTAAAAAAAAATGTGTGGTTGATATACATATATCCCAAAGAAATTACATTTCATCATCCTAACACTAATCTCGTTACTTTGGCGTTTCAATTGGGGTGTGCAGTAGGTAGTGTAAACCACCTTCCACTGTTTTGAAAACAGACTCTCAACTGGAAACATATTTTTGCAACAGTTTGCAGGCTTGAAAGGAAGAGGCCAGTAGGCCAGTTAGACGGCCTAGGGGCCAACTCCTGCAGTTTATTTCTCCTTTCACAAACATTGTTTCTCACGTTTGCGGGACGGTCTAGCTAGCAGGCAGTCCACACTGTGCACCTGACGAAGAGAGGGGGTGGAATCGAAACCCCCTACACCCCCCCCCCCCCCCCCCCCCCCCCAATGGGGCCCGCACGCTCCCCTGCTCACGCGGTCGGTTTTGCACGAGGCACCGAGCAACGGGGGAGCACGGACCACGGAAAACTTGTTTGTGGGGTAGAAAAGGCTTAAATTAATAAACTACGCAATTTTGCTTAATTCATGTTTATTCGATGGGATGCGGAACTTGATCTCAGACATATCGAGAACGAATATTTCGAAACATTTGTGGGGTAAAGGATGGCAATTTCAAGGCAAAGTATAACAACCTATCCCGACTGAAATACACAGTTCAATCAAACCAAAATGAATATAATAAAACGAATACACGGTGATAATATAAAACAATGTCGTAAATGTAAGGAATAATAAATGGATTGTAAAAAAAAAAAAAAATTGCACTGTAAGCAACGGGTGGCGCTGCGCTCACGCAAACATTTTGTGATCAGAATTACGTGCTTTCGACTAGAAATTACCGGGAATAAAAAGGTAACTACGACTAGTAATATTAGAATGCAATTTACAGGTTCTCTTTATCATCTCATTTATGCCAAATGCCTACACATTAAAATGAAGCCGCCTGCGTTTACGGAAAAAAAATATCCCGGACGCCCTCCGCTTGAACTTTAATGTCACGGTGAACATGCAAAAGCGCTATACTTCGTGTCAGCTTAGGTCCAGACGCAGCCGATGCCACAAGCGCAAGCTCCGGACTTTCAGAGAACGAGCGCTCAGCCACTAGGATCTTGAGGAGACGATGGACGCTCTGAAATAGGGCCTCCGGACAGGGGGCGACCGCCTGTATACCGCGGACGTGTCGGGCGCTTCACGTTTCTCCCTCTTGCATTGGACGCCTAAAATGTCCATATATTTGGCGAAGTTTCCTGCACTTTGCGAAAATCGTCGCTCACGGATGCGATGAAGTTCGTCTTGCTTTCTGCTTTGTATGCCAAGGTAGCATCCGATGCAATTCCTTATTACTATTAGCTTAATCTCTTCGTAGCACGGAACATCAGAAACTTTGAAGAGACAAGCCTTCATATTTTCACTACGCATAGGCGCAGCGCAAGGCTAGTCAAGTTCCTTTATACGTTTGGCGTGTATTTTCTTTGTGGTGCGTCATGGCAATTCTCCGAGTGACGGAACGACGAGTTCGGACTGATGCCTTCTCCTTACCCCGAGGATATGCTGCTGCTGCCTTTGGACCAGGCTGCAAGGTAAAACGGCCTAGCGAAGGGAACACTCTCTTTACTTTGGCATATGGTTCTGTAGCACGAATTTGTTAAGCCTTTCATAGATAATAGATTTTGGTTTTCTGATTGGTCGGTTGCTCCAATCTTTCAGTGTCGAAATTTTTTTTTTTTTTTTTTTTTGTGGAAGTATACCTATCCTTGTGTTTTGTCTGGCCTTCACGCGTTGATATTGCGGTGCTACTTCGAGAAGCAAAGGGAGTTGTGTGCTGTGAGGAAGCTTTTAAAGTTGGTGGGCCGCAATTATGACGACAGTATGAACAGTGAGCCACCCCGCCCGTATTTCTGTAAATGAAGTCTGCTCCATTTTGAAAAAATGACAATGCAGAGTTACCCGTTTTACCTTAACAGCACTTCCCTAATCTTTGCCTGAGCGTCCGTGCCGGCGAGCTCACCCTGCGTCATCGAGGGGGGGAGGGGGGGGGGTGCCGTTGAACCCCTCCCGAAATAAAATCCTGGCTACGCCACTGCGAAGAGACATACAAAATTGTGTGTATTGGAACTGTGGTTTTATTAAAACATCTTTGGCGTGCAAGCAGCAACAGAAAATCTAAGCGATCACATGATGGGACGCTCAAGGGACCAGCAAAGGATAGGAACACTCTGGAATGCAACGATAAAGTTAAAACAGCAGTATGAATGCCACTCTACGGCTGATAACCGCTGTCATCTGTGCGCACTGAAGCGTCTTCTTCGAGCTCCATCTCCTCCTGCTTTGTCGCCTCCAGGAACTGGCGCATCTGAGCGAAGAGGTCGTTGTTCTTCTGCTCTATGTGGTCCAGACATGCGTTGATTTCGTCCATAGCTGCATTCAGTGCTTCGTACTCTGCGAGAATCACAACGCGATATGCGTAGTGTAGAAACGTCACGTCAGTAGGCGTCGCGCGCCGCTAACCACGGCATCAGCGAACGCAAAGGGGGGGGGGGGGGGGGGGGGGGGTCGGGTCTAAACAAAGCACTATTATAGTTAAGCTGGTACAAAAATGGATTGAAATTAACCTCGCGAGAACCTCTGAGTGGCGTCGAAGTGGCTAGAGACGTCGGCCGTCTCACTACCATCCATCTGAGGCCTTCAGAGGGGTTCCTTTCAATCAAGAGGGAGTGTGATGCAAAAGTTCACAAAGCGATGAAAACTTCGACTGAAAGACTAGAATAACTTAACTTGCCTTCATCGTAAGAGGTTTCGTCAACTTCGGAGCCTCCCTCGGCCGCAGTCGTCTGATCTCCGGAAGCAGAACCGCAATTGGGGCCATCATCGCTCCGCGCCATTTTGATTTAAGTGCGCCGCGCAAAACTTTAAGGGCTACACATATTAAATAATAAAATGTAAATACATTTTTATTTACATCATTAAAATATTTAAATTAGAAATGCGTTTACGGTAAATTTATAACATTGTTTTCTAAATGTGCGTTAACAAAAATATTTGCTGCTGAACAGCCCGAAAAACAGATTATTGTTTCTCCATCTTGCTTCGTTACTGTCGGTGAAATTTTTTCGGTAAGTATCTGATTAATCTGATCACTGTGAATAGCTGATCTGTTTTATATTATTGAAATATCATCACGCGTGTATATGCTGACAGTAAACGACCCGTAGTTTTTGTATTCAGAACTGGTGTGTCGGTATTTCGGACGCCTTTAGCGTCTTTGTCCGGCACTTCCATTGGTTGTCGCGGAACGCTGAACCGAGAAGCGTTGTTTACCCCGTAGTAATCTCAAAAACAGAAAACTAGAAGCGTCTACCGGCCAAAGAAAGCTACGAATGATTGCAGTTGTTGTTTCGAATCGTAGAACTATCTGGCGAGCGTCCACCGATGATTCATTGTTTTGACTCCCGCGTTCAGGTAGAAATCGAGCAGGGACAAAGCAGCCATGGCCGACAACGATTTGTTGGACTACGAGGACGAAGAGGAGCAGGAGCAGACCGCCGGGGAGCCCATCCCGGAGGTGAAGAAGCCGACTGGGGGCTACGTGTCCATCCACAGCTCCGGTTTCAGGGACTTCTTGCTCAAGCCCGAACTCCTGCGCGCCATTGTGGACTGCGGCTTCGAGCACCCTTCCGAAGGTGCGTTTGCGGCGCTCGCTGGGCGTCGAACGTAGTCGGTGACATCGCATAACAAAACGATAAATGGCGTTCATTGGATCGAAATCCCGAAGCTATCTATATTTTGATGCTGACACGAACAACAAACGTATCGCGGGCGTCTTTTAACTCACGTTCGGCTTCTGCCTCGCGCAGCTGTTTTCAGTGGTCAATTGTGACAAAGCTTCAGGGCTGCTTACGCCACGCCCAGCAGTTTTTTTCCCTGTCAACTTTGGTGTAACTGTTACCAGCGTCATTTCATTGATGAGTGAGGTCTTCTCTGTTATTTTTTTTTTTGTGTGTGCTTGGAGTGCGGCAGGTGCTCATTCCATTTTGTATAAGGTGTTCAGCTCTGTCAAAGCTTTTGGCACGACTTTATTTACTGACTCAAGGCTGATTCAGACATGTATTTATGACTTCCTGCGTTGCACGGACATTGGTTACCCTAGCAACCCGTAAAAGTATCTCATTTTCACTCTTAGTGCAGTTAGTTGTGCTAAAGGGCGAGGAGATCGAACTGTAGGGAGCACTCTGACCCATTTGTTATCCCCGCACATCAGTTTACCCAACACAAAGCCTGTAGACATGCCCACAGGTCTTGTGGGCATATTCACGTCTTAACATAAAGATGCTAGCAATAAACAAAGCAACGTTTATTGTTGGTGCCGGATCCCTCTTGAAAGCAGTCGGAGAATGCGAGCTTGAGCCACTTCGTCGGCTTTTGTGCTGAGCTGGGCATGTGCTTTGTGCATGCTGCATTGTTCATGCAGGTCGGAGTGGTAGCAAAAGAGCCCCTCCTTCCCCTCAGGCAACCCAAAAACAAAAACTCCAGCTCAACGCTAATGCGACATTAGGTTAAGTCAGCAGAGCACTGAGTTATTGTTATTTGTTGTCCCCAACTGTGTAGTTCTAGAGTTAGCTGCTTGGGGTGCCACGATCTGGTCCCCTCCCTAGTACCTGGCTTGCATTGACGTCGCAGCAGCCACCATTGCTCCACACCATGCCCACTGTACCTGTACCTTCTGCAGCATGCATTTGACCCATCAAATTTGTTCTTGGCAAGCCTTGCTGCGAAGGAAAGATGTGATGGTTCGAAATGTACGGCTACAAAAGGTATGAGCACAGGAGCATGGCACGGTGCCATGACGTCACATGAAAAACATGCGTGTATATGCAAATGTCTTATTCATTCTTAGTTTGTATGACAGATTGCACAAATTAAATTTTAGATGAGGTCACATGCTGGTGCCAGTTGCTTTGACAGCTTGTGTGCAATCTGTTAAATAAATTTGTAAATGTCTGCAGTTGTACTCTATTTCACGGTAACATGGCGGACTGTGGAGGCTACGGCCCCTGCGACCGAAGTAGAGCGTCGGAGCAAGTCAAATTTGGGGGTTTTACGTGCCAAACCTACGACGGGCATCTGGCACGCCCCAGCGGAGGACTGAGGATTAATTTCGACCACCTGGGGATCTTTTGACGTGCAACCGAAAGCTCGGGTACACGGCGCCTTCTCCGCAATAAGCCTCCGTCATATTGCGGGCACCTCGGTCAGGATCGTCGGAGCAAGGAATGTGATACCGTGTCACGGGACACTGCGTATGTTTCACTGCGCCAAATGCGAGGCCTGCAGTAACTGGCTGTCATCTGCTGTGAAACAAACTTTGGATGAATGTCCACTGACACAACATTGCCATCCGCTAGAGTAGTGCTCTCTAAAACAGTTCATGAGGCAACCTTACACTCAATTTACCCGTGAATCTTTGGAGAGTGCTAACACCAGGGCCAAGTGCTGTTTTGAGCGGAAGCAGTCGATTACGTGACTGCTTCCGGTGCTACAATGGGAAAAAAAGTTAGGAACGAATATGAATGTCGCGTCACTTCTTTTTAGTTTAAATATAATTGATACTCGTCGCGAATATTCCTTTTTTATATATATATTCTTGATAGAGATAGTATGGTGGTTGTTAAAAGAAAAAGAAGCCTAAAATCACTTTTTGTCGCGGACGGCGCTGTTGGTGTAGCGGTAACAAGGCCACCGTGATCTCGACCATAGTGTTGTCACGTGCTTTGCTTTGACACTCGTATTGGTTCACGGGGACTGCAGCCTCAACAGTTTTCCCAGTTATCGTGTAACAGAGTATAGTATGAGAACAAAGTTTTGCAGCTGGTGCTACACGTTTGTTGACATTTACTATTGAGTTGAAATGAAATGCAAACAGGGGAACACGTGGCCGTCGACGCACGTTGCGCCTCCTGGAGGCCTCTGGAAACTAATAAAATTAGAGAGTAGGGCACTGCAAGGGTGTATATCCTACTCTGATTAGTTTGACCTTCAAACTGCACGACCCAAGCTTGGACACCGCGTCGGTGGTGCACTGGAAGCTCCATCACAACCACTTTTGTTGCCCCCGGCACGAGCCACGCAAGGAACCTCGCCACCCGCAGCAGGAGCAAGCTGCTTGCACATGCGTCTGCGTAGTATGACCGCAGCGTCATGCTCCCTCTTGTGCAGTTTTCTTTTTTGTTGTCGTTGGCTCGACAGGGGCGGCGCAGCTCTGAAGCTGATGTTGTGCTGGGCAAATGCAAATGTGTGACCTGCTTTTATGGTGACAGCGTGCACTTGTTCTTGCTTCCACCTCTGTTCGGTAAAGAAACTTTTGCCTGACCTGTGTGGTGTCCCCCCCCCTCCTTGGCTTTGCAGTACAGCATGAGTGCATTCCCCAAGCGATCCTGGGCATGGACATCCTGTGCCAGGCCAAGTCTGGTATGGGCAAGACAGCCGTGTTTGTGCTGGCCACTCTGCAGCAGCTGGACCCTGTGGACGGACAGGTGGGAGGACTTCCCTCGCTCGCATCCATGTAGCACAACGGTGTGGGTGGTTCTCGCCATCCCAGTAGGAGTGGTAAAATTTTGCATTGGTGCAGCTTCATGGAAATTAACCGCGCACCTTTTCATTCTCAGAGTTGGGGCTTTTTTCATCAGTAAAATGCTGAATTTATATTGTTGCACTTCAGCCTTTGCTGAAATATCTAGATTGTGCTATATGGAAAGCAGAATCCACTGTCAGTGTTAGAAAAAACATTGTGGTTTAACTTCCTCAGACCTATACAATACCAACAAGCATTTTTTTCTTTTGTAGTGTGTTTCATTCTATTCTTTTTCTACTCAAGTTCTCCATGTGTAATTGGGATACTGAAGCTAAACAGCCCCGAAGTCCTGTAATAGTTGCAATTTAGTTTTTAAAAGGCATCTGCTTATTTAATTTAGAAAACATTAAACAGTCAACTTGAAATGTGAAGGCAATTTCTTTTTTCCATCTAAGTTTTTCGGGGAAATTGGCGTCGCGTTGTTTTGTGACATGCTGCGACACCGTGACGTCGGTTTAACGGGAGCAAGCGCAAATGAATGGACAAATTTTTTGGGATTGGTGGTTCCGTTAAAAAGGGTGACATGTCTTCAAACGAGATTTTAATTTACTTGCACCACTGGTGTGCTGGGGAAGCCTGCTTGGGGCTGGGCATGCGACCAATCTTGATCCAACTTTGGCAGGGCGCCACTGGCCACATCTGCTTGTGAATGCTGCGGTAGTCGTAAGCTGAGGTTCTTTCCCGGTCACAGGTGTCTGTGCTGGTGATGTGCCACACCCGAGAGCTGGCCTTCCAGATCTCGAAGGAGTACGAGCGGTTCTCCAAGTACCTGCCCTCAGTGCGGGTGGGGGTGTTCTTCGGGGGCATGAACATCAGCAACGACGAGAAGCTGCTGAAGAGCAGCTGCCCCCACGTGGTGGTGGCCACCCCGGGCAGGGCCCTGGCTTTGGTGCGCTCTCGCAAGCTCCAGCTCAAGCACATCAAGCACTTTGTGCTCGACGAGTGCGACAAGATGCTCGAGCAGCTCGGTGGGTCTTCCTCGCTCCCCCGCCCAAGCCCTTGTGTTGCTGCTTGGTCGAAACCACGCCGCCCGGGACGCGTCTCAGACTCGAGTGTTTTGCGTTCTGTTCTGTCCGTGCCTCAAAAGTGGTGCCAAAGTGCAAAAAATGCTGTGGCAGTAGCTGGAGCGTTATTCTGTTTGGTGTTGCGGTCCCAGTGGTCGGGTGTAGAAGTTCTGAGAAAAAGCGGGAGGAAATGTGAGCGTCGCTGTCGACGCCGAGTTGCAACTCCTGGCTGCCGACGCTTTTGGTTGACTGTGAAGCTGGAGGGCGGGCGACCTGCGGCGGAACAAACGTCTGCCAGATTCACCAGCGCCGCCGTGACTCCGCCAGGATCGCGGCGGCGGTTGTAACGATTGTGCGATCTAGTCAGGCGGAAATCAAGGGACCACTTTTTAGGATGCGGTAAACGCCGGTCGGAGGCGCGTTTCGGGCACTGTAATTAGAGCTCGGCATGGCTAAATTACTTGAGCACAAAAGAGAATTGCTGGAACGTAGGACTATGTGTGCTGCACACGCTCACCTTGCCTGCATAAGAGATTTGAAGGGAATTTCCAAAATGAGGCTTCGGCAAATGGACTTGTAAAGTGCCTTTTGCTCTAGGACAGTTACTGCTTTGGATGCCAGCAAGTGCAGCGCATTTAACTACACTTGAGACATGCTCCTCGGTGCTCAGGTAATTCAGCAAAAGGTGTGTCAGATGGAGTGCCCCATGACCTCATTGAGCTATGGTCTGTTGTAACGCAGGATATGTAGAAGGTAGCACATGATAGTTGCGTTCCATTGTGCTTTGGCTGCGTGTGCTCTCAAGACGCCGAAGCATCATTGAGCGTAAAAAGCTTGTGCTGGAGGTGGGGCTTCTACAGCAATTATATTGAAGCTGACTAGGGTACTGGATAAATTATCTAATTGAGTGCTCACTCCCTTTGACCTTAACTATGAGCGAACGAGGACCTATTAGAGCAAGGGCAGTGCTTGCAGTGTGCCTGCTATATAAATGTGCTCATGAAGTTGAAACAGTCTTGGGACTGCATGCTCCTGCTTGAAGTATTTACTTTGCTCGCTCCGATGATGGAACAGGGTATAGCATGTAGACGCAGGGCATTATTTGCTGCATCCCTCAATTGGGCTAATTGGCAAACATGAATCGTGGTGTAAGGTGCAAAAAAAAAAAAAAAAAGCAATGGACACATGAAAGAAGGAAGGCGCCTGTAAGTGTCTCATTTCCTTTGTCTGTTTGTTGCACCTTGCACTGCGACTCCTTTTTGATAGTGGGACAACTAATGTTCCTAAGCAAAAGACTATCTCCTACTGGTTGTGTAAAATTTGCTGGCATCTGTACTTCTTAATTGAGGCTATGCAGGTATCTATTTGCCTCGTGGCAAAGCCGACATTGCGACTGTCGCTCATTTTATGAGCCTAGTTTTAAACAGATCATTTTAAGGGAGCTGCCATGGCTCTTATTGTTCTCGTGTGTATGGCAGTATCCTAATATAGTATGTGGCTGTGAGTGAGCAAATCTAGAATTACCCTTGTATGCTTTTCTTTCTCCCCTCCAGACATGCGTCGAGACGTGCAGGAAATCTTCCGCAACACACCCCACGAGAAGCAGGTCATGATGTTCAGCGCCACGCTGAGCAAGGATATCCGGCCCGTCTGCCTCAAGTTCATGCAAGACGTAATTACCCCCAACAGCCTTCATCCCTCGCACACCACACCTCCACTTGGCCAGCCGGCTTCGTTGTCCAGGTCTCCTGCGTCCGTCCTCCGTGGCTGAGGCCTAGCTAGCTGGATAGAGCATTTTGGGAAGGTCAGAAGCACGTGCGCAATGTCGGGGGAAGCTGAATAAGTTTGGCATCGGGAGAACCGTCGCTCAATGGCCAGGGCTCGCGTGTTAGTTGTCAGGCGCGTCTTACACCGCACGGAGTCCATCGAGAGCAAAGGGTTAGTTTCGGCGACGTCAACCAAAGTCGGTTTTGCATCAACCTGCGGAAGAGGCATCGTTGGAAGCAAGTTAGGATGAGTCGAGGCGTCCGTTCAATCTTGCGGTTCCCTCGTGAGAGCATTGTCATCTGGCTTCGTCGTCTTCAAAAGTCTGCGCGTGGGAAGGCAGGGTTAGGGCGTCTATCAGAGCTTGAGGATCCCCTGGGAGAGCTTGTCGGAGGGTGTTGTCATCTGGCCTCTTCGTCTTCGAGAGTCTGCGCGTCCGCCTGCGTGGGAAGAGCCTAGCTAGACCGGATGGATGGGGTCCCCCTTGCGTCTTCCACTCCCAGCTAGGGTAGGTTCCCTTGTCACCCCGGAGGGCCGAGGTTGTCGGGTCACGGTGCCGAGATCGGTGGTGTCGGCGCGCCTCGCGTTATGGACACTTGTGGTGCCGTGCATCTGGACATTGTGCTCTGAAGACCGTCGTCGTGTGGCGAGAGCTGCGACGGTTGCTGCTTCGTCGTCTCCGCCGGAGCGGGAGGTTGTGTGTTGCGTCCGAGCTTGGCCGGTGGCTGCTGCTGCGTGCTCCGGAGCCGGACGGGCGCTGGCTTGGCTCGGCGACGGCTGCGACCCGCCGAGGACGCCGGACCGAGGACTGGTGGTCTTTGGGTGGACGGTATCTGGGGGGGGGCACGGGTGGCATTGTGCTTGTTTTCAGGTTGTTGGGAATGTTGGCTGGGTGGAGGTGAAGATTCGGAGTTCTGTTGAGAAAAGGGGGTGGGGGGATGACCTTTGTGTTCTGTTCTGTTTGAGGATGTTATGTTTGGTTTTCTTACGGTAGTTTTCTTGATTTAGAGACAGACTATGGGAGGGTCTAGGGAAGGTGGGTGGGTTAGTGAGCTGAAAAAAAAAAAGTGCAAGCTTTGTAGTTTGTATGGTGTGTCTAGTTACGGGGGAATTGCTAACTTATAAAAAAAAAAACAAAAAAAAAAAAAAAACAGTATCTATGAACATGGAAACTCACAGCAATAACTGGGTTTCAGTTCATCTTGGGCACTATCCTCGTTGCAGGACCTGTTGTGTGTAGGGATGCATGCCGAGAGACTAGGGGAAGCCGTTGCTATACTTAGCTTCCCAGAGTTTTTTTTCCCGACAGACCCGCGTTGAGTTGCCCACCTGATGCATTCTGCTTCCAGCCGATGGAGGTGTATGTGGACGACGAGGCGAAGCTGACCCTGCACGGGCTGCAGCAGTACTACGTGAAGCTGAAGGACAATGAGAAGAACCGCAAGCTCTTTGAGCTGCTCGACCTGCTCGAGTTCAACCAGGTGGTGATCTTTGTGAAGACGGTGCAGCGCTGCATGGCCCTCGCCCAGCTGCTGGTAGAGCAGAACTTCCCCGCCATTGCCATCCACCGCGCCATGACACAGGAGGAGAGGTGAGGTCCCGCCACTAGCACCCGGAGTGTGAGCTGGAACTTTTGCGATTAGGTGGAGGGTGCATTAGACTTGGGAACAAAAGTAATGAATGTTGCCTTCCACTGGATAGAAACATTGAACTTTGTTTCTGCACAATTGTTGACTTTGGTTCTAATCTGTGATAAATTACAAGTAATAAAATCTTTGCAGAGTTAGGAATTAGAAGTTTAACTACAGTGGATGCCTCGAGCTCTGGGGAGACAAATCGGTGAGGAGACGAAACTATGAAGGTGCATTTTCATTATCATCATCATCACCACAAACAATCGCTCACTTGTTTGTAGCGATATGGTGTGCACTTACTGCATACCGCAGTGCTCAAAGCATGCTTTTGCACTGGGTATATGCAGCGCGGAGGGCATTCAATGACATGATTGCATTTGAGCATTTCCTCTCCTTCGAGGACACACCGCTTGCTTTTGCCAATGTCGTCCATGATTGTCGCAAGAGACAAAGTAACTAAAAATAGGAAATGCATTTTTCGTGCATTGCTTAAAGTCTCCCGTAAGTTGAGGGGGGTCCCTACAGGAAGGAAAGGGGGGGGGGGGGGGGGGGGGGTTCTGATGAGATGTACTAGATGCACATAAAATAAACCCCACTGCTGACTCTACCCACGCTGTACCTGCAACCCTCCAATTGCTAATCCCCAAATGTTACATCCCTGAAAACAAGCTATTTTATTGCAAGATATTTTTATTTCACTAATGCTGCGGCTGTAAAGGGGGGTCTGAGACCATCCTTTAAAATCAGTGGAGGGTCCGAGGCCCCCTCGAGAACCCCCAGACTTTAAGCCCTGGTTTCGTGAATCATTGAGAAAAACACAAACGCTGTCCTGGCACTCCCGCGCATGACCATGCATGCGCTTGTTTTTCCTGCCAAAAGGACTTTGATGACATTGAATGCAAGAGGGAGCTAGGTTACTTCTATCTAAACATGTTTAGAAGAAAATAATAGTGTCACATATCTTCCACGAGCCTTGCGTTGCCGTCTTCTATGGTGGCGAATGCACTAATGACTGCGGTTGGAGGGTCTGCTTGCCATACAGTGTTAGTTCCCGAGGCGGATGCTGGGGAGTGCCACTCCTCAATCTCCTCCACAATAATCTTGTGTTGGGCTGCGTGGCATGGCTTGTGTCGACTTGGCGTTGGCAATTTTTCACACGTCGCTCTTGAGAGTCCATGTTTCGTCACCCAAATTGTTGGTCCAGCATCGACACGTTTCACTGCTTTAATAGTTTGATAGCAGAAAGAAGAATGGTGGTGGTTGTAGTGGGTGTTTGTGAGAAATTCGAACCCGGCTTTTCGCACCGCAAAATTAAAGTAGACATCGCGGAGGGCTCTAACTTCGTCAGAACGTAGCGCCAGCCGTTTGAGCAAGATGCCAAAGTTTCAGCACCAACCGTTATCATATTCAAAAGTTATGAGTGATTTTTTGAAATTTTCAACGGGAAAAATTTTTGCGGGTATTCGGCTTCTGACGTCATAAAGCTCCTTGTATTCAAGAGCTCGGTCGGCCGCCATTTTTCCATTTAAATTTTTAGAAAATTGCTTAAAACTTATGAATACGATAACGGTTGCTGCTGAAACTTTGGCATCTTGCTCGAACAGCTGGGGCTACATTCTGACGGGGTTTAAGCTCTCCTTAATGCTTAGTTTATATTTTAGGTGCGAAAAGCTGTTTTCGGATTTCTCACAAACACCCGGTATATTTATGGTGTGTCATTTTGTGCACCTTGATGGGTTAAAGGGAAAGCTGAATCTTCTCTGTTACCTACAAAGACTGTTATCTCATCCCTTGAAGTTTGTACACGTCCAGTATTTTTTCCAACGAAAAATTAGTTGATAAGCTGCGTTCCTTGCCAAAGATTTTCAGTGGAAAGCATTTCTTTTCTGGATTTTATTCTTCCAACACTCTTACCCTGCAGCATTATCCTTGTGAGGTGTACTCAAGTCTGCGGCGAAACTCCTGCAGCTTTTTTTTCATAAGCGTCGGGCAGTTTCTGGCAGACTGGTCTGTGTTTTAGGCTCGGCCCATTCCACTTTAAGAAATTCGCAACCTACTTCTTGGAAATCTTAAAAGTTGCTTCGGGCGATGGTCATTTGTTGGTGACGGTGCGGGCCTTCACCTCTATGTCTTTGTAGGAGGCGCTGAGGCCCATTCCAGAAACACCCCCTTGACTGCAGGATACTAGCCATGCTTTCACAAAAAAATCCTTTGCCGTCGCCGTCTCATTTCACACTTTTTCAAAACTCCAAAGTTCCGTTCCGCTGCAATGTTATTGTTCGTTTTGGCGTATAAATTCATCTTCTGCTTGAAGGAAGCACTGCTCTGGCTCTGATGTTGTGGTGGCATCTTTGTAGGGTGGGAAAGTTCACGATTCGCGAAGATACTGGAAGCACTACCGTGGCACCGTAGCAGGACGAACGCTATGACAATCCTGTGTCTAATTGTGGAATGCTCTTGCTATATATTTTTTTTACTGCCTTACCCACATGCTTAGGTACAAGTTCCTACATTTCCGTTGCAGAGTTAGATTCCGGTTTTCTGTGTGCATGTGGAACTTCTTTTTTTTTTTCGTCGCAATAATAATATATTGTGTAAAGATTAATATCACGGTACATGTTAAAATCTCTTGGCTTAAAACATTCTGTTTAGATGATGTTTTATATGTGTAGATGCAGGGAAAAGTCGCTAGGACCTGCTATTCAGCTACAGCGCTGGCCCCTCTTCAGCCTTCCACCGCTCAGCTGCAGCATAATTTTGTCTGGCGTGCAGGACGGTTCACTGAGTGGTGGTGCTTCCGTGTTTCGTCTCGCAGGCTTTCCCGGTACCAGCAGTTCAAGGACTTTCAGAAGCGCATACTGGTGGCAACCAACCTGTTTGGCCGAGGCATGGACATTGAGCGGGTCAACATCGTCTTCAACTACGACATGCCAGAGGACTCTGACACATACCTCCACAGGGTGAGCACTGTTCCTTTCGGCCTTAAAAAGACAGTAAACTAGGGGGAAAAAATAATTAGCCTCAATGGGAACTCCCCCCCCCCCCCCCCAAAAAAAAAAAAAAAGATTTTACAGTGGAATCTCATTAATTCAAACTCGCGGATAATTCAAACAACATGCAGATCCCATTAATGTGTTTCTAGGAATGAAACTCCCGGTAATTAAAACAGTTTCCCCCTCGTGTTCAAATTATTGATATTCCACTGCAGTGCGTAATTTATGTTGACTCTTAAATTCTTGTGCTCTCTGCTTTCTTTTTTTTTGGGGGGGGGGGGTTGAGGCACTAAAAAAAAGTTGCGTTTCGGAATCGCTTCTTGCTCTAATTGACTGTCACAACGTAAATATTTCTCTATAAATTGTTTTTGGGGCAAATTTATTGTGGACGTGCAATCCAGGTACTTCAGAGAAATATATTGGAGTTTAGTGTCTCTAAATGCAATTCTGATGCATGCTTCTGCTCTGGGTCTGCATGCTAAATCGAAGCACGTTTCAGCATCACTTCTTGCTCAAAATAATTCTTGCAATGTTGAGATCGAACTATGAAATGTAATGAAATCGGCGGTGCGTGAGGAATTGTTTCTTCTGCTTTCTCAGGTTGCCCGAGCGGGAAGATTCGGTACCAAGGGCCTGGCAGTGACCTTCGTCTCCGACGAAACGGATGCCAAGACATTGAACGAGGTCCAAGATCGCTTTGACGTCAACATCTCCGAGCTGCCCGACGAGATTGACATTTCCTCCTACAGTATGTACCGTTTTCTTTCCATCCATCTCTGCACTCTTACGAGGGCGACTTTTTTAATTCTTTCTCTCCTCCTTTGCGTTGCAGTTGAGGGGCGCTGATCGAGCCGTGCCGGCGTCCCGTCTTGAAGGCCTCCAGAGGCTGCCCCATCCTTGTTTTGTACATCCGTCTTTGCCATCTCTCTGAAACACTTCGAGTTCATCGCGATAAGAAAAAAAAAAAAATCAAGAAAAACCTTGTCATTGTGTACATCATGTGTATGTGAGTCTAAATCATAGTTTTTGTTTAATGTGGCATTGCCAAGAAGAAACCAGTGCTGTGTGGAAATACAGTTTGTCACTCCCACCACCACTCTGTTTGTCTTGTGCTTTGCTTGTCTGAAGTTAAAGGGTCTGAAGAACTTTGAACGGTCTGATGAACTTTGAAGAGCTCTGAACAAGCCTAGTAACGCGAGACAGCTTTTTGCCGACGTGAAAACTTCTCTTTCTGAAAAAGCTCAGCAAGGTGTACCCCAGGTTCACCACAGCCGAATGCCGCCTGGATTTAGTTGGGGAGGCATTGGTCTTGGAGCGTGTGCCTAACGCTGTGGCTGCAACCACTGTAGAATGAGAATCACAAGGAAGTGTTTCACTTGTTTCGTCCTTTGTACCTTTGGCAACGCAGAGCCGAAGCACAATGGAAGGCAACAAGTCTGTGCTGAAGGCCAAGCGTTCACGAGAGATGCCCTGTGGCTCTTGTATTGTTGGTGACTATTAACGATGGCTAGGCTATTTATTACATTCATCCCCTGCATCTGCCAGCCCCAGTGCTTGGCTGGGCTTGGCAAATGTGGGTGGATGCTGGCACCACTTGCTCTGACCAAGAGGGAGTTCCCTTACAACAGTTTCCCTTAAACCGATTTGGCGAGCAACGAGACAAGCGACGGCGACCCACTTTGCTGTAGCTCGGTCAGTCGCGCGATGAGGCAAACTGCATGAAAGTGACCAGAGCGATGTGGCGTTTTCTAGAAAACTGAGAAATGCGACGAGCGACAGAAACTTAAAGCCTTTAATGTGTGGAGAGAAACAAATGAATTTCGCTTGGATTCATCTTGCGTGCTGAATGGCGAGTGTCCTGAAATTTTTTCATTATCTTGACGGGCAGTAGTTAGTAATATAGTAGTAAGAAGGCATGGGGTGCCGAGATGCTCTGGTGGCTGTGTGCGTCGGTTTTCTGAACCAGGTGGTGAAGGTGACTGGATCCTTCCTCTGATTAGAAACACTTCGGAGGTGTTCAATGAATAAGAAAAATACCGTTAAAAAGGTTGCTGGTAGAATTTAATGTGGCTTTGAGCAAATGGTTTCAGATGTGCAGACCTTTGAATTGTGAAGATTCTATCTGTAAGAATGGTCTTCGCTCATTTCTTGGATTGATTTTCAGGGGGAGGCTGTTGCCTTCCTTTGCCTGACTCCTGTTCTGCTGTAGAGTTTTCGGGTGCCTTGAATTTTCTTGTCGGGCATGCAGTGATCTCGTTCCTCTTGGCTGGCTGGCATAAGGGCTCTTCAAAAGCCGGCACCTTCTCTGATACGTTCCTGCTATCCATTGCCCTGAAAGTGGGAAAAACAGCTGTTCGGACAAGCTTGCTTGCTCTGATGCTGCCTTTGAAATGCTGTTTGTGGAGCAATAGTTGGGTTATTTTGGCTGAAAGTAAAACAGCCTTACTTTCATGGAATCGAAGTTTGACGCAAAAATGCTAGCAAGGCATGTGCTTTGTTTTTTTTTATTGTTTTTTTCTTCTAATCTTAAGTTTGTGACAGGTTAAGGCTCAAGTGGGAGCTCCTCCTACCTCAACCCTCTACCTCGTTGTCCTACCTCCACTTTTTTCTGAGCGAACGCAGGAGAGGAGGGGTTCGCTCTGCTAAAGTGGAACCTGTCGCCGATTATAGTAATTAGCTTGACTTTCATTTACAAAGCTTCGTAGTCTGGTGGTGAATGTATGCTTCTAAAACGAAGTGCAGTAGCAAATGCTTTTTTTTTTATAGGATGATGTAATTTTAACCAGTTGTTCCAACAAAATAAATTGACATCTGTTAATCTCGGTCACGATTATTTGGGAAAAGCGCCCACATTTTGAAGGAAAGTTAACACGGGTCTCGCCTATGCAAAATTAAACGAAATGTACACGGTAGTATACCACAAGAGGTGAAATACGTGAAAAATGCGCTCTTACCAGTTAATCCGCAGCGCAGCGTGAAAGCAAACAAGCAGCGTTAATAATGACCCAGGTATGCAGTACGCAGCTCTGCGCTTTCATTGCACTGGGCAACAAAATCTCGTTTCCTGTTATCGCGATTATAAGTCCTCAGCTAACCGGCGGGAACCTCTACATACCCTCTGCCGCATTTATCGAACGTTGTCCCCAAAGCACCGTTAACGCAACAAAAAATTTTTTTATTGTTATTTTTTTTTTTTTTTATTACTTGACGCATTTACGTTGTGTGTCGCATGTGTTTTTGATTGAGGGGGCACGCGACATGTAGAGGCTCCTTTCCACGAGTTGATAACTCGCTCGAAACTCCTCAGAGACTGCCCGAAACCGGTCGAGTGTCAGATAGCAAGGCTTCTCGTGTGCCCATGCTCGGCACGTAGGATATCATATGGACGACTTGGACACATATCAGATACAAGCATGGTTAGAAGGAGCCGGTACTGACCTGTGCGTTCGGGGGCAGCCTTCGGGGCGCGTAGAAGGTCTGGAAAGTCTCGATTTCGACGTAAAGGTAAGTTCAAGGTTATTTTTGGGGGTTGTGCAAGCTCCACGCGGGCTTGCGAATGCCAAGGTTTTGCGTTGAGGTCAGCCTGTTTCGGAATGTTGCGCTCTAAAAAGGCTCGTCTGCTGTGAGCCAGCTGCGAGCAGACAGCATACGTGGTCATTCGTGCTAGTTGCGTATCGCAGTCGAAAAGTGGAGGAAGCAGTTTACAAAATAGGTTAAATGGTTTGGGGAGAAAATATTGACTCGATTCTGATATACTGAATAAGTCATGTGAAATATTTAAGATACGCTAAGACAACGGTGGTGTAAAACGCGCAATTCGGTGTGGGTACCGTAGAGTCGATAACTCAACTAGGTGTAACTCGTGTAACTCGATGGTTGGTAACGTTCGTAACGTTGGTCGATGGGGTCGATGTTACCTTTCCCAGTTTCATTTTTCCTGCAAACTTTTTTGACCACCAAGAGCGCTAACTCTCGCCTTGACTTCGCGGAAGTCGAAAAACCGAACGCGTTCTTTTTTTCTTCTTTTTGGCGGTTTCGTTTGATTGGTTTGTTTGCATCTTGGTTTCCTCATCCGTTACGCTATGTTGTGTGTTATCACGTGTTACTGTTTTTTTTGGCACCGCTGCACCTCAACGCTTTCAAGTGTTTTTTTCCTTTCCCCAAGCGACTGACTGTACGTAGTACAAAACGAGAAGGCTAGATGCGTAGTGGCGCAGTGACCGATAGTGTTCCATGCGTTTCGTTCGCGTAGTATTTCTGCAGCTATGACGAAAACACTGCTCCTGTCGAGGCTCTGCAAGAGTGTCGCGGCTCTGAGGAGCTGCCGCGCTCCGCTCAGAAGCTTTCGGCGGCTAGAGTCTTCGGAGGCAGTGCCCAACGCCGTCCCTTACCAGACAGTACTCAAGAAGCATGCAGTAGAGACTCCCCGCTCTGTACCCGAATCCGCTGACGTTGTCATCATAGGTAAGCTTGTAAAACATCGGCATAGGAAAAAGGTTGATGCATCATCTTGATTTCGCGTTTGTTACGTCCCTGTGCTTCAGGTGGAGGCATCATTGGCTGCAGTACATTATACCACCTGACCAAGCTCGGCTGTACGAACGTTGTGCTGCTCGAAAAGGACAACCTAACGGCGGGAACGACGTGGCACACCGCAGGTCTGTGTTTCGTTTTGCAAACATCAGAGGGTGAAGGGAAACCTCTCCGACTCTCCGTGATTGGTGGGGCCTCCTCTCCACTCCCGTCTTTGTTCGTCATGCCAAAGTGGAGGTAATCTAACCTCTAATAGAAATGTATGAGTTGTAACGAAATATGTAATGCCGGAGTAAAAATAAAAAAAGTGCTAGGATTAAATTTCCATCTGTTGCATCACGCTTCATACAACTGTCACTTTGTAGGGTTCATCCGGTTCTGGCAAGGAATATTAGAACAGCAACAACCTTATTGCTGCAAGGCTGGAATGTGGCACTATATGCGTTTGCAAGTCCGGTGTCAGGGTCCCGCCATCTTCCTCAGTGGGGTGCACTCTTGGGCGCAGCCATAATCCGATTACGACGCCTTAGCAAGGCTTCGTAATCGGGTTATGACTCGTCCAAGCGCACCCCCAGCCAAGCAAGATGGCAGTGCCCTGAAGCCAGACTTGCAAACGTATATATAGTCTGATTGTATGGTGAAGGACTTGTGTGTGTTTGTACAGGGCTGATATGGCGCCTGCGGCCGAATGATACAGACATTCAAATCCTCAATCATACGAGGCATTTGCTCATGAACGTCCTCGAGGAGGAAACGGGCGTGTACCCGGGCTTCATAAACAATGGCGGCCTCTTCATCGCAAATTCTAAAGAGCGTCTTGACGAGTACAAGAGGCTGATGACTGTGAGTACTTTTGTACCCGGCAATTTTCGAATGGCTTGCATGTCACACCAGATTCTTTCTATTTCTATTGATTTTGTGATAGAAAATATTGTGTATAGTAGGTTCGCAGAGATCACTTTTCAAGCAATCATCGGAAAATTATAAATGCACTCAACTAACTGCATCTTTCTGCAGGCTTCAGTCAGTAAGGATGACTTCTAGATGTAGGTAACAAATTTGTCGAGCTTGTCGATAGCTACCACATTTTTTATGTTACCCATTTGATATACTGTAAACGACTTATTGTTTTGCGGGCTCAATATTTTGCGATTTAGGTAAAAGCTGGAATTTTGGAATAATTTGCGATGCAGTGGGATCTCAATATAGATTCCAATGTGTTTACATTTTACTGGACTTGTTTGCGAGACCTATTTTTTGGGAATAGTAGCCGATTTGTGAAGTTCGTGAAAATTAGGTTCTTGCGAAAATTAAGTCGTTTACAGTATCCTAGCCATAGCTGTTTGCAACTCCATTCTCGTGCATTTAAACCTCTCTCCCCCGCTTCACGTTTCGAACGCCAGACTGCACCGGTTTTAGATGTGCACTTGGTAGCTTTTCCTTCACATCTTTTTCTTTGTGTGGCATTGCCTCCTTTGAAGTTGCAAAGAATGGAGATCATGAAAAAGTTGTCAATAGCTTGTGTAACTCACACTTGCACCTCTTGTTTTATCAAGTAAATATGGCATCCCTTGTTTGCTGGCTATATGACCATTGCTGTACTCTAATCCATCTAACGATCTACCTGCAGTGCACACTACGAGCCCCATCCAAACCAATCCAGTGCTGTGGACATATCATGTGACTATGCGCCTCACACGTTGCTGTGCCCCTCTCGATGGTCACATGACACGTGGCATTGAATTGGCCGGGACGGCTCATGGCGTTCTTTACAGTCAACCTTTAAGAAATACTGCAATGAAAAAATACATTTTGTTCTTAAAGCGTAATTGGGACAAATACTTATAAAAAAATAGCTTTGTTACGAAAAAAATTTTTTCACACAATAATTACGCTTTTAGACACAATTCAGGTGGAAGTCATGGCCTGCTCTAAGCCCTACCCACAAAACAGTGGCCTCACCCATCACTACTGGATTGGCTTGGCTGCTCGACTGAACACACTGACAAGCCGAGTGTCTCCCTTTCGCGACATCTGGTGCGTCTAGTCTGGTGTATGACATTGCCTGCTAGTTGTGCGAGCGGACGCACAGCAGCCTCAAGGCATCATCTGCTATATCACCACCGTCTATCGTCGTCTGCAAAGCCCGTGAGATGTGGACACGAAAGCTGCACGTCGGCGTCTGTTTTTGCCTTCGTCCGTCTGCTATTCCGCCCCATCTAAAATCTTCTGCAACACTCGAAAGAAGCGACCATGAAAGCAGCGTTCTAGCGTTCCATCATGCACGAACTGCAGTCTAATACCAGCATCTGTCAGCGTCTGTCGATTTACTGTAAGAAGTGACCAAGAAAACTAAAAATAATCAACAAAATGAATATGCAGTCCTTCTAGCTAGAACCCGCACAGCACTTCTGAAGGCGTGTACTTGCTACAGTTGTTTGCTGCAAACAAGGTTGGTTGCGATCTTCCTCTAAACATCTCGGTGAATGCAGAACGACTCGCACTTATAAAAATAAACTGTCAACGAGCTAGGCTCCTTGAGCGCACCGCAAATGCTGACAGCTATGTTATTGTCTGAAACTGAAACAGAAAGGCGATTTCGGGATATCCTTGAAAACAATAATGACTGGACCTAGATTATTTCTTTCTCAAGCATAAAAAGCTAGTAGATTAAAATGCTATTACAGCACGGAGATAGTTTACAACCAACCTTTCACATGTCGATCATCTCTCCAGCCAGTGAGAGATGAGGCACCTTGTAAGCATGGGGCGGGGCTTAGCTGGCTGTGACCTCCACTCTGTTAACCTAAATTTTGTCTAGCAACGTAAATATTGCTCAAAAAGCTTTTTTTTTTTTTTTTTTTGTGGTGAAATGTTTTTGTAAAGGGGCACTGAAGTTGATTCTTAGATCGTCCTTTTGTGGTGACAACTCCATCTAGACGCTCTAAGCATTCCAACAGACCCAAAATCACAATCGTGCGTAGCTTATTTTCTCGTTAAAAGCGTCTTCAAAGATCGCGACACACCCTTTTTGTGAAGAATTTTCTTCCGAGACAAGTGGTCGACGAAGGGCACTTGTCGGCGAGTTGCAGGCGATGGCTTCACCCGCGGTGGAAAAGAGGGGTCTTATTGGAATGTGCACCTATCGGACTCTCTTCGAAACAAGTTATAATAAAATCATTCGGTATTTGTGCGTATTGTAGGATTTTCATTGGTCCACACAATGCAGTCCATGAGAAAAAAAGAGTCCACATGTTTTTCTATTGCCTTGAGATGAATAGGCAGTTTTGTATTATAGGATTTGGTATATGTGGGAACTAACATCTTTTAAACAATATAAGATCAAAAACGACCTTTTTTAAAAATGACTTAAGTGCCCCTTCAATATATATGTCCCATTAAAAAATATTTTTTTTTATTGCAGTGTCTTTTTAATGTGAAATGGATTATGTTCTAAGATTCTGATTTGCAGTATGCTATGGCAGTGACTACATGCAAATCTATAATGCACGAATAATGCTGATTTGATGATGATAATGATTATAATAATAATTTTTAATTTGTTCAAATGGTGGAGAAAGATAAAATAAGCTTTACAATGAAGCTTGACAGGTCCTCTGACCCATAGGCAATCGTGAGCCAACATTTTGTACAATAGATGAACAAAAAAAATGCACACAAAAATACTAAATGATGCAGTAAATGAAGCAACAGTAGAATATCACTGCTGGAATCAAACCAACCACAAAAAGGTTATATATGTTAAAAGTATGTTCGATGTGGTAAAAAGATGCAGCATTAATCTATTTCTGGTATTGTGCCCAGATCTATCTTAATGTGTTTTTTTTAAGGCGATTTCAAAGCCGGGGAACGAAATGTCGAAGCATTTGCTGCCCATAGTTAGATCTGCCCATATACTATCTGACATTTTCTAACATAAAATAGGTGACCGGCGTTTGAGCCGGAAGTTTCGTCATTCGAAGCGAGGCACCACGTGACTTCACGGTTCCGGTTCGTCCGGTGCCGGTCGTGGCGCGTCCAGCTGCATCAAGAGCCCTTCTAGGCGTGGTAGCCGTGCTGTTTTCGCGGTGAAATTGGTTCGCAGTTCCGCGGTACGTTGTTCTAACGCAAGCCATAGAGGGCATACGATGTTCCAATTCCCGTGAAACAAAGCATGGAAGCAACGATGGGTCGTCGCTGTTAAGCGAGTGATGGAGCGAAGTGACCTGTGACAGACAAACGTCGGTGACCGTTTATGCGTGGCCAATATTGTTACAGGCCAGTAGAACGTGTTCTGTCTTCAGGTAGGGGCCGCGGGAAATAACGATCTCTAACAGTCTTTTGGCACCCGCCAAAAAGGTCTCGATTAAGCCGCGAAGGGGTGAGCACTGCTTGTTGTACAAGGCATCCGCGAGAACGCGAGATGCGATCTCGCAGGCAATCAGTTCATGGCATGACGTTTTGTCGACATACAGTGCCATCGCCAGGCCGTTTAATTTTTATATCGACAACTCGGAATAACTTTTTCTGTAATGAGCCGCCGCAGACTGTTCCCGCGAAGCGGCGGTGAATGGGTGGCTTACTATAATATAAATAAACAAAAGAACAGGTCAGCTTGCTGTAATATAAAGCAGTAAAAGCAAATGGCAGCACCTTCATATTGACCGATAATAAAGCGGTAGTACGACCCTGCGTAGCTCATATCACAATCGGTGCTCGTTCATGCATGCTTTCTTACTCGACATCATTAAAAAAAATAAAAATAAAAATAAAACGTGAGAGGGGGTGGGGGATATGGTAGTTTACGGGGGACAACCTAGTCGAAGTACGAAAAACGCGTGAGTGTTAAAAAGCAGGGGAGGAAGTGGCCGAGTGGGCTAACGCGTCTCAGCTCGGAGCGTGGAGCGAAAGCTTGCGCTGAGAACCTCCTGGGCTCGGTTCCCCACCGCCCTCGCCCGTTTCGATCTGGATGAGTTTCGTACCGGCACGGGTCCGTGTGATCACTACTGCGTGATGCATGTTAAAAACCCCAGGTTAGTGGTTGTACTGCACTGGCTAAATTTCTCATCTACTGCTAAGAGACCGATTACCCGTTGAGGCGCATCTCCATCATGGCTGTATAAACATACAGAGCAAACCAATTTTTAGTCTTAAAAAGCAAGGATTGTCACGTAGTCAGATGTCATCGAAACTAACTTGTGTATGGAAGTGGCGTTTCAATCGCGCGAGAAAACATATTACCTGAGTTTGAAACGCCGTCTGACCTTCTTCTTTCCCTGTCTTCAACTTTTGATTGCTTCAAGATTTTCTTACCCAGTCTCAGGTGTTCTAACAAAATGAGAAAAGTACGCCAGACCTCCGATCGGGCATTTCAGCTGGCCGCGTCCTACGGCTTACATTCGCACCTATTTCAGTCGTGATGTGATCTAACGTAACCATCAAAAATAAACAGTACCCAAATAAAAAACGCTGGCTCAAAAGGAAAACGAAACATCTAACCTCAGTTTTCATGCGAAGACCCGGAAAGCGCGGTGCGAGTGCAGCTTGCCGCCGGCCGCACTCGCTCTGCGCTTTCGTGGCCGTTCTCGATGCTTCTGCGTACCGACTACTACTTAAAATATCCGTAGAAGTAAGTTGAGACGTTCAGAACTGCGTAAGTCACCCAGCAGCAGAGGAAGGTGGCCCGGATTGATCGGGTTTCAACACCCGCACACGCTTCCATAGCCGTCCTGGGGCTGCGTCGGCTGCTAGCTACGAACCGGAAGTGAAGAATACCCAGAGTGCTTTGCGGCTGCTGCCAAACGCCGGTCACCTATTGCCCAAAGCAATTGGAGGAGTACACATACTTGGGAGTTTCTCCTCCCTTTCATCCAGATTGGAAAGGCATTTGGCATTGAGTCTCATGTCCTGAGTCCTGAAGAGACCAAGAAGCTCTACCCCCTGATGAATGTGGAAGACCTGTACGGGACGCTGTACAGCCCTGGAGACGGAACGGTGGACCCCGCTGGCTTCTGTACCTCCCTTGCACGGGCCAGCACCGCCAAAGGTGCCAAGGTTGGTCTGCACACTCAGAACCCTGGAGCCTCATATACCGGGCCATCTATCGATGCAGGATGCCAAACACTGCGAATTTCTTCTCTACCATGTGTGCTAAGGTTGGATCAGACATTTCTGTTTGAGTGCAACCATCTGTGTTGCTATTACAGCGGAGCTGTTAAGGGCTAGTTTCTTCAGGATTGTGTCTGCCAGCAGATAAATGTTGACACGACACTGCGGGCAGCTACTGTCATCTATGAGCGACGGCGGCAACCAATCAACCGGCTGTTAGTTGTCTGGTTGCCGTTGTCGCTCATAGATGGCGGCAATCTTTTCAGTTTTTTCACTCTGGCTTGCCGACTTGCGGCCGGCCATTACTTCATTCCGACCATAGTACAGCTTCTCTGGTCTTCCTTCTTCACCAGAGTGGAAAGGCTGAAAGTTTTCCTTGCTTTCCATTATGATGTGCTGTGCGGACATTGGTTGCCATATCAGCCCTCTCATCATAACCTGTCATAGTGCAGTCAGTCACATTCAAAGGCCGATGACTGAACCAACCTTTGTATTAGTTTAGTTATGAACTGTTTGACGTTGACGATGTAATGAAGGAGCTCTGAAGCTCTCACTCAAGACTAAATTGATTGAAGCCCAATACCCTAGCTGCAGGACAGTGGCATAGTAAGGCAAGATAAAATGTCAATTAGGGTCTTGCAGTCACCAGGAGGCCTTACTCGCAATCAGCGCTTTTCAATATGAAACCTGCCCTTTGAGCAAAATCTCTCACCTTGCAGATTTTCTTTTTATGCTGAGCCTACTTTATGCTATGTTCCCTTTGTCTACATTACAACCATAAGCCTAACAAGGGTCACAATCTGTAGATGCATATGTAATTTGAACATTGACTAATAAGTACCGTCACCTGTTGTGTACTCAAAAGATATCACCATACGCAAAGATGTGCAAACTTCTCCAGCCCGCGACCCCAAAAATACTTGAAAGCCGTCCGGCGACCCCCCCCCACTTCTGACTGTACTCAACAATGACTCCGCTCCCTGAGGACCCCGCCACCCCCACTATGTGCATCTCTGCTCTATCGTACGAATTGTAAAAATAAATGGTTGCTCGTCCAACACCACTGGCAGACCACAAACACACGAGATGATTGTGTGTTGATTGTGGATGCGGGCTAGAAGCCTCGTTTCGTTAATGTAAAGTGAACAGTATAGCTTCCCTGTCACGTGATAATCATCTCAGATGTCCTCGAAATGTACCCTTCCCCCTGCTTTCATTATTTTGTCTTCCTAGCATGCAGAATGGCATGCAGAAGCACAATGACCCTGCAAAAAAATGCACGATGCAGGCCTTCTGTAGACCGTCGTCGCAAAATCAAGTGTGACTCTCTTTTGAAAAGCGTTAATTTCAGACTTGACCGCAGGTGATCGAGAAGTGCTCTGTCCTGGGGGTCGAGACGCGCGTCGACGACTTCGGGACCAGACGAGTTTCGGGAGTGCAAACGCCATTCGGTCTTATACGCACGAATGCTCTCGTAAATTGCACAGGTGAGGTTTTGATCATCTTTTCGTGTGGCGCACGACTTGGAGTTTGGTCTGCTAGGTTCAAGTTTTTGTAAACCGATTCCGTCAGTCAAGTTATACTTGGTAGACACAATCAAATGTTTTAGACATTCTAATGTAGATTCAACTGGCAGCATCTTCTGATACCTCTATGAAATCAATATTGTCAAATGATTTTGGATGTTTTCAAAATGTGTGCAATCACGGCAGCTTTAACTCCGTCGAGTAGAGTGGTGGTGTCTTCAGTACCGCTATCCTGCGGTGCAGCGGAGCAAAAGTGGAGATGAAGAGAGGGAATACATGTATTCTACAAGAGTCGCTTTCTGGCCTAATTTTGGGGGAGTAAAGGGGAAAGGGTTATCATATCCTGCCAGTTATGCTGGCTTCACATACAAACTCCCAGAGGGAGAGCAAAGTCCGTTGGGCATAAGTCCGGGGGGTAGTCCATGCCTCTAGTGAGGCAAAGCGAGGTCCTCTGTGTTTTCTCCTCATAAGTTCAAGACTACAGCAGTCCCACAGGAGATGTCTGATCATAAGGCAGGCCCCAGTGTTGCACATACTGCACATTACGTCGGGGGTGGAGGGGTCCGAGGGAGGCTCCTTGTGTTTGTTCTCAACGCCGGCGGCAGAAATAGAAAAGGACTTCTTTCGGGCAGAATTCGTACATGCCAGTAGGCTGTAACAAAAATAAAGGAAAAAATCGGATTAACTTGATTTCTCTTAACCGAAGCCAAGACCAAATTGAGGTTTCATTAGTAATTTTCAGAAACCAACCTTGCAGCTAAGAGAGTGAAATTTGAGGCTTCTCACAGAACTTCCTTAGTATGCTAGACGTTTTGCATGAATGCACATGTGCATGGCAACACTGTCACCAGCAACATCTAGTGATAGTTGCAGTGGCATAGGGCAGGGGTTCTCAAACTGGGCTTTGCGGAACACGGGTTCCACAAGCTGGTCTCGTGGGCTTCGCAAACACCCGAATGGCCCCGCCCCCTCCCCACGCTGCGGGCTGTGCAGCAGGACCCTGTAAAGCACCTTCATCTCACTTTGTACTGACAATGCAATTAATTGATATGGTGGGGATATATGAGAAGCAACGCAAGCAACATTGCCTGCGATTGTACTTATGTCGCTTCTCGGTCGGCAAATATGGAGGGGGGGTTCCGCAGCAATTTTTTAGGCTTCCTGGGGTTCTGTGGGACCAAAACGTTTGAGAACCCTTGGTATAGAGGGAAAGAAATTGATGTACTAGTGGAGAAGATGGGGGGGGGGGGGGGGGGGGGAAGGGGATTAAGTGGTGCAAAATTATCAATAGTAGAAGCCAAATCTATAGTTATCAATAGCACAAATACTTTCTATAGTACTATCAATCCTATCGATGGTGCAAGCCAAATCTAGCTACAAATGGCAAAAATAATTCTGATATTACTACAGTGGAATCTCGTTAAGAGGAAACACTACTCCGGAAGGCTAACTTTTGAACCATTTGTCTTATTTACATGAAATTTGCAGGGTGTACTCATAGCTCTGGACAAGGATGCTGTGCAAATTTTCAACCCTATAAATTTATTTCATGATGAGTTACATAAAATGTTCATAATAAAAAAGTATCTGCTAAGGAAAGCTATCATTTAGAAAGGGTAATGAAAATGGCCAGTTTTTTTGCTGGAGCATACAGCAGAATACTGGCTTCAGACAACTTTGAAAAGAAATTTTAAAAATTATAAAATGTATTCACGAAAAGAAATATGGCAAAAAGTTTTTTTTGGTGTACATTTGATTTAAAAGAAATATAAACTTTTCATAACAAAAGAGCATAAAAATAGCAGAAAGTAAGTTCACAGTCGTGTTCTCCAGAAAATTTCAATATAGAAAAACCAATATATCTGCACGCATAATTTGATTATGAAATGATAGCTTCCCTGAACTGATATTCGACACTAAAAAGTGAAGCTGAGATAAATGCACTTAAAGTTTCATGATGACGTTTTAAAAATTTATTTTTGCGTCTTAAATGTCATAAATTCTTTCCACCAGTGTAGGTAATGTCTTCCTCAAACTTCTTCTGATATACTGACATTGCTTTCAGCTATTTTACTTGTAGATGACGAGTGCTATGCAGTGCAGCACACCTCACCAACATATAAAGAATAATTATTCTTGACATTGTTTGTCAGTGCACATTGACAAGACTTTGTGAGAGTGTTCTTTGTTATCCATACATGCCAAAACTTTGCAGTTCTGAATAGGCATTTTTTTTAAAAAAAAGGTGCAATTCAAGGTTGTGTCCCCCCTTTAATGAACCTGAGGGAAACCAGAAGTCTGTTTGAGATGCAAAGTTTCAATTACTGAGAGTTTCCTTCCTAGAAACATGTAGGACGGGACTTGCATGTTAGTTTGAATTATCTGCGAGTTTGAATTAACCAGATTCTCCTGTATCGATAGTTGACTATTGAAAAACTATTGATATTACTATTGATAGTAGTGTACTATCAATAGACAAGTATTTATGACTATGTGTCAATAGTTTTCAATACATGTCAGTCAACATTTGATTGATACGCCCTTACATGTCTCTCGCCGTGCCCTTTTTGGGTTATACTTTCATTTTTTTTTAATACCAGATAGTTTTCTGAAAGTTGACTATGATAGTAAACCGAAAGCCAATAATCAATAGTCAACTATCGATAGTTGACTATCGATAGCATTACTGATAGTCCACTATTGATAGCTTTTTCTTACTATTGGTAGTTTTTGAAAAACTATTAATAGTCAATTTATCTATAGTTTATCACTTGGGCAGTCAGAATTTTAGTCTGGATGGCACAGGCTACCTCTTTTTACAAAGTGAAAAGCCATAATTCATCCAATCATTTGAGGAAATTACCAGCTGTTAGAGGATTAACAAAAGTTTTAGTTGTTACTTTGGGGTGGGTTACATCTGCATTATTTTGACTGACTTTTATTCCATATATTTATGTTTTGATGATATCAAGTTTACTGGTTTTTGCTCCTACTTGCTAATGTATTAATTCAAACTAATTTTGCTAACTTATTTAAAAATAATCAGGTTCTTGTCCTAAAGAACAAGTACAGCTTGGTTAAAGCCTAAAAAAAATTCAACTTGACTTATAGTTAACATATACCTAAATTTATAATATGAGTTACTTGTCCCATACTGCTTCGAGTTTAATGACACTACTGAGAAAAAATCTGTCGTACTTAAACCGGAATCTAGAGAATATTGTGAGAAGGGATTTTAGTCAATCTACCTGTTTAAGATTTAAAAAAATTGCATTCGAAACAAAACTTTGTTCTTTACTTTTGTAATAATGACTTTTTTTTGCATCATGAAACACATGGGATGTGCTTGTAAAAAAAGAGTGAAGATAGCTGGTTTGTCATCCTAAAAAGGAACTATATGAATTTTAACACAGTTTTTGTATTTTGAAGAAATTCTTCGATTCATTAATATTAAAAGTACTCGATTGAGTTCTAAAATGGTTTTGGGGGTATGGCCACCGAGTTTGTGTTCATCCTGACCACAAATCTCGCCCTTAGCACTCATCTGATGTTTTCGCTTCTCACGAAAAGTGTCCCTTTAATGCTCGACTCCTTCGTTGCTCGGCGGTTGCGTGCCGCAGGCGCCTGGGCCCCTTACATCGGGGAAATGGCCGGCGTGAGTGTTCCCCTGGTGGCCATGAAGCACGCCTACGTGGTAACCAACCGCATAGAGGGCATCCAGGGCATGCCCAATGTGCGGGACCACGACCTCTCCCTCTACCTGCGGCTGCAGGGGGACGCCCTCTCGGTGGGCGGCTACGAGCCCAACCCCGTCTTCATTGACCAGGTGCGCCATCTCGGCTCTGCACACGACTCTTTGTGTACCGTAGGTCTGTGGGAAGGTTGTGGTCCCTGACAAGATGACAGCGGCCTTGTCTTTCGGTGTTTCCTACCTGTCTTACGAATGCACAGAAAGGGAAGGTGTCCAGTCAGAAAATTAGATACATTCCGTTTCGGTGCACCCATGGGACAGATAGAAAATGCCAAAAGGCAAGGCAGGGGTGCGGGGTTAACCCCTTGCCTACTCTTTTTTTTTTTTTTTCATTGAACGTACAGCGAAATATTATTTTAAACGGGCAATTTACATAAAAATAAGGCAAAAACATTTTCTTGACTTCCAGGTGGGGTATGTATCTTGCTCTAAATCAAGACTTCTGGTCCAAGTCCCACTGACGTGCAGACGACGAAGTCGATAGAATGCTTGCAGGAGTCACATAGTTTTCATCACTCCTGTCACTCTTCATCAAACTATTGTCCGATTCCAAAAAATCAGAAGGCCTGAAGGATTTGTTGTCACATATGCCTGAGCATTAATTACTTTCAAAAAGGTTTTGTATCTCTTCATCAGCTAAAACAGACCTCCGCGCCAAAGCCATATTGTTTTAGCGCAAACGCTTAGAAGCGACTGCATTTTTTTTTTTTTTTTGCTATAGGGAGCATTTCATTTTTTTGTCAAACAGCAAAACAAGCAAGCAAGCAACCCAAGGTAAATGGGGCAACAGGGATGGTTTTGCTATCTGACAGAAATTGTGCTAAACAAGCGCCAAAATCGAAACACAAGCCACACTTGTGGTCAGGCTTTGTGGTCTGTAGGGGGTGGCACAAGTGACACTCATTATTAGTAGGGAAGGGTTAACATTCTTTGTCAGTACTGTGGAGATCTGGAGTTTGACATATAACCCAGAAGCAGGGGGCAAAAAGAGATATGGATAACACAAAAGTCCCAACACGGCAAAAATTTTATTAAGCCAAGACATCTTTAGAACAGCGATGCAACAATTTTTGTGCTTTGCGCAAATACCGCTTAGAATGAATCCCCGACGTTAATGACGTGCGAAACACCCATTCGTTTTTCGCCACATGCAATCAAAGTTGAAGAAAAAAATTGAAGAAAAAATGAAAGCCGTTTACAATTTCCTGTAACGCCGGTTAGAGCGCAGCTCTTGAGGAGGAAGATGGAAGCGTACTGAGGGATAGGTGACTCCTTGAGGTCACGTGACCTCATGGGGTCGCGTGACCTCAGGGGCTCACGTGACCTCGGGGGTCACGTGACCTGAAGGGTCACGACCTTAGGGGGTCACGTGATCCCCAGAAGTCACGTGACTTCAGGGGGTCACGTTACCTTAGGGGGTCACGTGACTTCTGGGGGTCACGTGACCTCAAGGGGTCAGGTGACCTCAGGGGGTCATGTGACCTAAGGGGGTCACGTGACCTAAGGGGGTCACGTGACCTAGGGGTGTCACGTGACCTGGGTGGGTCACGTGACCTCGGGGGGTCACGTGACCTCGTGGTTACGGCGACGGCGACGCCGACGCCGCTTAAGCCGGAAACGGGCCCCTAAGAGCTGCGCTCTAAAACGCGCAGCGTTCACCCCGTCAACTCGCAGCCAGAACAAGCAGCCACGTGATCTGGAGCCGATTATATGCTGCCAATGTTGATTATAGCCATGCACTGAGTTCCAGACATTGTTATGGTTTGGCTATAGTCGTTATTACAGCGATTGGACACAAGCCGCTACCCGAGTGCTTCTCGAGCTGTTGATTATCATGAGCCCAAATCGACTGCCACGCAACGCTCAGAGCCAATCTATGAGCCGCGTTTAAATATATTGTCACTGGGCAGTACTGTGACTGCCCAGCTACGTCATCAAGTTTTGCGAAGGAGGGATTGGAAAGAAAATGCTCGCTTTTGTCCTTGAAATTACACTGCAACAAAGGAGTTTTTTCTTCAGTGGCGTTCAGGCCAAGTATCCTTGAGTCCCACTAGTGCCAGTACGCTCGTGTAAAGTGAAATACATTCCAAGTGAACATCACTGCGCGGCCCCTTTAGATAGGCCCACGACCTAGCAGAAATGCACACTGCACTTTTTCTCCCTGCTCGTGGGTTACCATCTTAAACCAGCTCGCCTGTACTCTCTCGCTTTAGTTTCAGTAACCTGAAGTTTGATTTCGGGTTATGCGAAATTTTGCGGCGGATTTTAAACCTTTATTCTCGTTTAATTCGTATGGTTCATTCATCTCCATAATGCAACTAGAGACCAAACATTGCCCTAAATGCTTGTGAAATGTGCAAGCCTTACCGAATTACCATTAGCATGTTATTTATAATTTTTATTTTTTATTTTTAATTGCCGTTTGATACTTGCAGCTTTCTATGTCTGAGACTAGAACTTATTGGTTCCTTCCACTTGCAGCTCCCCAAGAACTTTGCGTTCGGCCTGTTTGACCTCGACTGGGACGTCTTTGGAACGCACATAGAGAGTGGAATGCACAGAGTTCCGGTTCTGGAGAAGACGGGCATCAAATCCACCGTGTGTGGGCCAGGTAAAAAAAAGAAAAAATTGGCTGTCTCTTTTGTGTTTTTTAAATGTGTTCTAATTTCATACCATACCGAAAAAAGATCTCCTTTCCTCACCTTCACCTAAAACCAGTCTGTCGCACACATTGCAGTGAATGAATTATCCGTGAATTGGCGCTTCCAACTACCAGTCGTCTGCTCCGTAGTGGCAACTGGCTGCCTGTTGTTGCTGGGACCAGTGCTGTCTTCTTGCAGCCACGTCCCACGCTCTTAGCTCGCTCTGCCTGCCTTTGCGTCCTCGCTCCTATGCCCCTCTCTTGGATCTTTCTCCTTCACCTTGCCAACTCATTGGTTGCCACCCCACGCACTTTGCATTCGTTGCTGGTCCTCTTCATTGAGTGCAATTTTCGTTGGTGCTCCTCTTCCTTAAGTGGTCTTTTTCTTGGGGGCTCGATGGCATCACACCTTTTAACAAAGCACGCAAGCAAGTCTTGATAGTATGCATAGTCAGCTTTGCTTCCGAGCACATACGCACATTGGGAAATCCCCGCTCTAAAAGCAATTTGTCTCCATCGCTAGGAGTGAATTCCAGACTTTCCTTAAGCCTTCGCATGATGATTCCGACCACCGGATAGGATAAATGAATCGGTTGAAAGCAAGATTTGTAGTTGGGAAATTCGGTGCATGTTACATACGATAAAAAACAAATAAAAAAAACACGACACAGAGATAAAAAACAATTAAAAAAACACAAGACCCAAGGAACAAACAAGTTGGTGTCTGTGTCCTCATTTTCCGGTGTTCTTCGGTCTTTTCTTTTTTTATGTAAATGACTATGACATGGTTGAGCTGCAGAAACTTGTTTGAGGCATGACACTGATTTAGAACGGATGTGTGGCTCTTATCGCCGTATATATAAAAAAAAATTTTTATGCAGGAGTTGCACGGTTGAGCCTGCTTTACATCAGAAGCCAAGAAACTTGGGCTGTGAACCGCTCCGGTGTCTAAAGCCACCGACTTAACCTCCAGATTGTTGAATCTTTCTTGTTGCGTGCTCTGAAATTAAATGTTGCCACAGCCTGCAGCGTATTCGAATGGTGACATTTTGAATCTGCCACGAAAACCTCGGAGGGCGTATAAATAGGGGGCGCATCCCTTGACAAAATGTGCGACGAAAGTGTCCGGGTGGCTATCCTTCAGCATGAAAGGCATTTGGCGCCGGTTGCCATATCAGAAATCGACGTAGAATGGCATCGCGTGGAAGCTAGCTGACGCCAGTTCGTAATGCTATGAACTAAGGTGGGCATGCCAGCTTCTCGGACTCGCCTTAAAATACCGTGCATGCGCCTCAGTCCCGATAAACGCCACCCCTACTTTTGGAAAATTTCAAATAAAAGCGAAGAGCATATCGATCGCCGACCCCAGCAAACTTTCGAGGCTGACCGGTGTGTTCTTCCACATTGGCTGCCTTTCGTAGAAGCCGGTGCAAAGTGGTGAAGTGTTACGGACGTGCCTCGGTGAAAAGAGGTAAAGCTCGATGAAAGAGCGCCAGCGCGAAGCAAGCTCTTCTTTTGCGACGCAGGTGCTTTAAAAAATTAGGCGTTCTGCCACACCCCCATACTGCTCCCATACCACTCCGTTGGATCAAGCAAGGGCCCACCATGGGACCTAACGAGCGCTTGTCGCATTTTTTTCGTGATTATCTTCAATGCTCAAGCGGGTGCCTGGTCAATTTTCTGCAACATGGGATCTCGTTCTGAGTCCCTCGGACCCAGGCATTCCCCAGAATACTCTCGTGGGTTATCGAAATTTGCATATTTGCTCAACAGGCCCTGCTGCAAAGTAAAGCATTTTTCCAGTTCAAGCACTATTGTAACTCCTCTGAGTCACCCTTTGACGTATAACTTAGCCCTACACTCCCTGATATATGCATTATAGCTCACAAAGCCCTTCAGCATCTTCACTGCTATGTTGCATTGTTGCCAGTGATGTTTCATTCAGGGTTATAATATGACCCTTAGACATAGCCGTTTGGCTGCGCCTAGGATTTGTTAATACCTTTCCGTCCTAAGCCGTGACTTTATCACTTTCCCTTCTTGAAGCTCTTGGACCACCAGATGGTTTCTCGTAATATTTAGCTCCCTCTAAAGTTTCTCCCTAATTCCCTCGTTCATCCTTAAAGTTACCCGCAATCACATTAAAATTCCCATTTCTTGTTTCACCAAAACCGAGGCCGAAAATCCCTCGAAAAGGGGAAAAAAAAACCTGAATGGAACATCACTGGCAACAATGCAACATAGCAGTGAAGATTCTGAAGGGAATGGGAATTTTAATGTGATTGCGGGTAACTTTAAGGATGAACGAGGGAATTTGGGAGAAACTTTAGAGGGAGCTAAATATTACGAGAAACCATCTGGTGGTCCAAGAGCTTCAAGAAGAGAAAGTGATAAAGTCACGGCTTAGGACGGAAAGGTATTAACAAATCCTAAGCGCAGCAAAATTGCTATGTCTAAGGGTCGTTTTATAAAGTGGCCAGTAGCATTTCCTTCTCTTTAAATGTGCGATTTCATGCGTCTTTTGTGGGAAAATGCGCACAAAGTGTCCCGCATCACAGAAATTGGCTGTGATGCGCATCACAGAAAGGTAAAAAAATGTAGAAAAATATGCGGTGATATTTAAAATTTTTTCAGGGAACGTGCCTCAAGTAGGGAATTTTTGTACCCAAGAAAGGGAATTCTTTCACGTGGTATGGAACATAACTGATTGTCGCCGAGATTGGGATGGGTTCCTCTTCTATCGACTAAGAGAAAGGGCCTTGAAGTCAATCAGTATGAGAAGCTGCGTTTTACGGTAACCCATTCGCCAACTCCCCGACGGACGTCTCGAGCCCGGTCTCCTCTGGCCCCGTCACAGAGTCGTTCACGGCCGACCACAAACCCCTGCTGGGGGAGGAGCCCTCCCTGCGGGGCTTCTTCCACGGCTGCGGCTTCAACAGCCTGGGCATGAATGGGGGTGGCGGTTGCGGCAGGGAGCTGGCTGCCTGGGTGCTGCAGGGCAGGCCTAACCTGGACATGTATGCCTACGACATACGGTGGGTGCACCCCAAAGGGCCTGGCGGCAGGGGCCCCACCTCCTACTAGGGTGCCTGGGATACGTCTTCGCAGATGGTGTTTACCACCGTTTACACTTTTGTATTTGAGTGTGCTCAAGTGAGTGTCGTCTCTTAGTGATCACTTACGACGGGGAGGGCGCCACGAGAGCGCACGACACCAGAGTGCACGTCACGAGGGCGCTGAACAACAGCAGCAGTCACTAAGGTGCCTCTTCCCGTGGCGGAAATTTCAAGTATCGAAGCCCCTTCTGTAGTAACTGGGTTGTTATACAATGGATTGGCTGTTATTTGACAGCCAGCACTGCACAATACGGGAGTGCAGCTTCACATTTTATCATTAATCATAGTCCTGAACGAACGGATTGATTTCTAGCATGTTCTAAATTCAATATTTTCCTGACGTTCGCTAGAATTGAACATGATAATAATGTAACACCTGCACGTATCTTTATTCCTGGGAAAAAGCTCATTGCCAAACCAATTTTTTTCCACCCATATTGATATGTGAACCAGATTTTTGTTTCTGAGGAACAAAAATGACGGGTAGAATTTTCTCGAGAGCAAAAGTAGTGACCATTTTAAAAGGAGCACTTTATCAGTGGCAGCGACGACAGCTACGCGGTAATATGTTGAGTTAGGAATGGATAACCTGAACAGAATAAATGATCTTAAATGGTGTGACTGCGCAGACGGCTGTGTGTTTGATTTGTTTAAAGTCCCCAGTATCGATCACTCCCAAGGCGCACATATGGTCTCTTGTGATGCGCGCTCTAGTGACACGCGCTCTCATGTTGCACCATTCACCTGCAGCAGCACTCTGTTGCCGTGCGCTTTGCTGTCGTGGCGCCCTCCTGTTGCACGCTCTCCCGTCGTCGCTCTAGTGTCATGCGCTCTCGTGTTATACACTTACAACCATTATGAGAGGTAACGCGAAGTTTTAATCGTTATAGCCTATTATTGTTGAATCTGGACTAGAAACTGGTCGTTTCTAGTCTAGAAATTATATAAACTGATCATTATAAGCAGTCCACCGTTATATGTGCTATCATTATACCGTAAAATACTGAAGAAACGCCCACCCCCATTTTATCGAGATACGCGTAAAGCCAACTATGGGGCGCTTATTAGGACGCTTGATGTGTACTTGCCCAAATTTTCGAATTTCAAAATTGTTAATGGTAAGTGCTTGTACGGGTATGGGCGCTTCCTCAGTATTTTACGGTAAGTGGACTGCACTGTACAGCTTTTACGGCGAGAGGACACACTTGTGCTTCCAGGTAGTTCCGGAACTACACGTAACTTGACTGAAGGTAGGACCTCATTCATTCGAAGCTGGTCGGACAGCGAAAAATGTGCGAATTAAGCGGATTTGCGAATTACCTATCTAAAAACGTAAGAAAACAACAAAATATTTTGTGCAAAGCCTTGAATCTCGAAGTACATCTTACTCAAAACGAGAGGACATTGCCCGAAGTAGTCATCGATAGGGGGCTGCCGCGTTGTGTAATTAGCGGTGCCGAACATCATATTTTCAAGAAGGCTAACTAGGCGCAACATCTCAGAATCACCGCCGTTATATCTTGCGTTTGCGTTTTGCAGCGTGCCGCCTGTTCCATCTTCTCTCCTTTTTGTTTGAATCGGCTTTCGACTGTCCGGTTCTGCCTTTCTCGTTTTCAACTCTGTCATCGAGGCACTCGAGGTGCATAACTTGTGTTTAGTGTCACTGTGTTGCTGTGCATGCTGGTTGATCGACTTCATGTCTTCGTACTGCTTCCGAGCACCTGCACGACCACACACCTCATTTGCGATAAAAGTCGAGATCACCAAATGAAATTACTAATATATTTGTTTGCTGTCCTCGTTCCCGCAACACCGCAACTTTGAATGGCGTTTTTTTCTTTTTTTTATATTATTATTGTTTGTGTTGTTGACAAGTGCTGATTGTTTGGCAAGTTGGTATGGTACGATAGAAAACATGATTGCGCTTTCAAGACAGGGACATAGGAAGAACAGACACCACAGAGCGCTAACTTTCAACTGATTTAAATCAAGAGCCTTGGCGTAGAAACACACTGCGTCACCGCGTCACCGCACCACATTTCAACCAATCCGTGGCCCCGCCACTGACCGCAAGTACGCTAAGTCCTTATCCGCCAAGTCAATTGACACCAGACTGGCACGACACGTGCCGGAACTATTTATAGCGTCAGCCTCCATAATCTCTAACACTCTTATCTTTGTGTCTAGCGAGAACAATAGAAGAAGCAAATAATGGTTTGCACCTGCAGTCATGACAGTAACACGACAGATGGCCATCCCGAACTCCTTTCTCTTTCTGGTGGTGTTCCCTTAACCGTACATTTAAACATCTGCCTGTCTGGCCGACATAAATCTTGCCACATGAAAGCGGAATTCGGTACACCACTTCTTCCGTGCACACGACAAACGAACTCCTGTGCTTGATTGGGCAGCCTGCCGGTACCTTGCGGAATGGATATGTCATCTTGCACATTTTTGCGAGCTTTTCGGGTGCAGAGTAAACAACTTTTACGTTTACACGTTTTGCTATTTTTCCCAGACTGTGCGCTGTTCTGTGCATGTAGGGCACAACTGCAACTTTTTGTCTCGCTTGACCTGCCTCTGGGCGCGGGCTAACGTCCTTTCTAATTTTCTTAAGGACGCCTTCTGCTACAGATACAACCACAGCCTTTGGAAACCCGGCATACTGCAAGCATTTGTTTTGTTCAGTCAGACTCGAGGACATTGCATGATGGCAAGATTGTCGTCATTCGCTGGTGTTCTGTAAATCCTAACGATTGGCTCTTCATGTTGCATAAGAAAGTTAGATGGGGTCTGTTTTGCTGATTAAGAAAGTCACTTTCAGTTGTACAGAATGTTGTGTTGTGTTTATTGAACTTAAATTCCTAAGAAACGAAACACCTTTTTTTTCATTGGGCAGGCGGTTCTCGCCCGAGCTAACATCCAATGCACGTTGGGTACGAGAACGCAGCCACGAGTCTTACGTCAAGAACTACTCCATCGTTTATCCCAGTGACGAACCTCTTGCCTCGAGGAACATGCGCAAAGACCCGCTGCATGAGGTAGGAAACATTTTGCAGGCTCAACAGCCGTCTCAGAAATATTTTGTCTACTCGCAAGTTTCCCAATTTTCACGTTGCATCCCTGATTGGTTGGCACCTATACTGGGCGTCAATCACTTTGAGCTGCGTTGTCGATGCTAGGGCAGCTTCCACAGTCCTGCAGCCCTGCATTGCTAGGAAAGTGATTTCCTCTTGTCTTTCATTCACATGCTTTCAAGTAAAGGAAGTGCCAAACAAAACTATGCACTCATACAAGTAGCCTTCACAGCGTTGGAGCATTGCGGAAGTTATGCTCGCCTTGACAATATGACACAAAATTGTTGATGCTAAGCATAGCATTGATCTACCACTTCTTCGTTTTTGACTTCTTTCCACTAGTAACAAATGATGTGTCATGGCTGCATGACATGTGAGGCGGAGTCACTATGAGCGTGAACCATGGAGGGTATGTTATGCTACTATTACCAGTGGAGCCGCTGGGTGTTCACATAACACCAAAGGTTCAAGGCATGTGCTCATTGTCGCTCTCTCATTCAAGTGTCTGACCAGTACTAAGGTGGAGGCAACTGTATGAAGCTTGTTATAGATCAAGGTTTGCACTCACAAGTGCACCAGCTTGAACCCAGGCTTAAAGCTAGGAAAACGTCAAGAAAGGGAACAAAGCTGGCAGTGGAAACTATTTGCAGGGGATCAGAAAGAATGTACCGGTATAGTTTAAAAATAAAAATTCTGTTCATTTATGAAACTTTATTAGTCAAGTGGTTTTGGTGTCACTAATATGGCTGTAAGCAAGCTAAATCTGGATTGAGATTTCTCCTCCAGCAGACTGTACACAGTGCAGTTCTTCAAAAACATTCTGTGGCCCTAATCAAATTTGTCTAACAAATGCTTCATGAGGCTTGATACAGACACAGGTGAACGAATGTGCCAGTGCAGAGCTAGCCTCCACGAGGGACACTTCACGAGGCAATTTTTTGGCACGAAATGTAACTTCCTTTTTCTAATAATAGTCATGTTTAATGTCATTCACATTTATTCAAATATGAGTTAGTGTTTTCTTTCTGATGAAGTGTTTTAAAATTAAAGGTTGATTTATAGTTGTGACCAAAGGATGTTGACCTATATTGGTGAGCGAAAATTCCCGACCCCATCAATCTGACTCGGGCGCTCCATTCTGCTAACTGCATCTCCGAGCATGTCGTCGCAAAACGATAAAGATTGACAAGCACGTGCCAATGCAAAGCAGAGAAGCCTCATGCGCGAGCACTAATGCAAAGTGGTGAAGTTTCACATGAGTGCTATTGTGCAAAGCAGTGAAACTTCACATTAGAGCACTGGCACAACGTAGTGAAGCTTCATGTGAGAGTAGTGGTGCAAAGCAGCGAAGCTTCACGCAAGTGCATTAGCACAAAGCGGCGAAGCTTTATGCAAGAGCACTGGTGAAAAGGACGAAGATTCATGCAAGAGCACTACCGTAATATCCCGAGAGACGACCCATCCCCAACAGATAGCCCATCCTGATTTGTAGCAGGACTTTCTATTTTTCAATGGCTCAAGTTGAGCTACCTTGTGAACACCGAATGTTAGCCTACCCCTTATTTTTACCTAAAGTGCTCTCAGTTTTGGGTGGGCAATTTCTGCCCACCCAAAACTGAAAAGGTGAAGCTTTACACAAGACCACTGGTGCAAAGGGTGAAGCTTCACATGAGAACACTTGTGCAAAGCTGTGAAGCTCCATGCAAAAGCACTGGTACAAAGCTGTGAAGCTTCATGCAAGTGCACTGGTGCAAAGCTGTGAAGCTTCGTGCAAAAGCACTCATGCACGGGGTGAAACTTCACATAAGAGCACTAGTGTAAAGCGGTGAATGTTTATGCAAGCAGAGCAGCACAACTGCTATGACTGCTTGTAGGCCCATGGTTCTAGAAACTAAAACTGAATTGAGCAGTGGGATTGACAAGTGAGTTTTTGCTAGGGTGATTAGGCACACTGTGAAGTGAATGATTTTACAAATTCCTTTTTCTTTGGATTCTTTAAAAATCAGGGTTAACAAACATTTTGATAATTTTTTCCTTTGGAGTTTTCAAGTATTGGGGTTTATTTATTTTTAGAAAATACTGTTCCCAAAAAAGTAATTGTAGTTATATTGCCTTTCAATGGCTCCCTGGCCTTGCTAAGCTGTTTTCTCAGCATCTCTTTTGCCATGGTGACTATGTCAATGCATATGTTAGAAAATAAACTTTGAACTATGGACTTAGACCACTATCTTTTCACTGGGGAAATGTCACATTCCAGGATTATAGGTTAATGATAATGAGTCTAGCTCAGACGGAGTGGTTCATGTTCAAAAACTAAAAAGAAGTTCTTTCAACAAAGGGAGCCTTTTGGGGACAAGATGCTGATAATAGTTTTTAATTAACCTATGGTGCAGATAGTTTAATATTTTTTCTAAGGAATTAATCTTTCAGATTGGACTGGCTTGGCCCATACTGAACATAAAAAACTGAAAGCATTGTTTTATTTTGTTTTAGATTGAGGCTGATAACTCACTGAATTCCTCTCATACCTCATGTCTTTTTTAGGTATTGTCTGCAATACTTGGGGGAAGGTGGTACTGGTCATGCAGTGTGCCTTGCTTCTGAGCATTCACTTTCTTTCTTTTTGTAATAGGCTGTCACATCATTCCAAAGCATTCAAATGCACCAATGATGAGCACTCACCGCATGCATTCCATATTGCTTTGCTGTCTTGTCTAGGTTTAACGTAGTCTAGATGTTTGTGTCTGTTAACTTTTCACATTAATTCACTGTGCCGTGAAAATGTGTGCAGGTCTCACCCTTTGCTGTTTTGTGGCCTATTGCAGGAGATGTCCAAGTCTGGGTGTGTCTTCCAAGAGCGCCTGGGCTGGGAGCGTCCAGGGTGGTTTGCACAGGATGGGCCCTCTCCTGTGAGTCATGTTTCAAAGTATGTTTACAAGATCACATTTCTGATAGTTCGCTTTACCTTCTGAATACTGTTAACAACTTCAGTTTTGCAAAAACCTAATTTCTGTAGATTTCACAACTTGAAAGTATTACGAAAAATTATCCCACAAATATCTTGCCACATGCTAAAGAAAACATAGCATACCACTCCCAATTGCAAATTTTTCCCAAAATGCACACTTTGCAAATTCTGCAAAATTAGATTTGTTTACTGTAGTTGTTTGCTAAATAGTTTTTAGCATGTTTTCTATAATTTTTGAATACTGTTTGATACCTCTTTAGGATTCTAGAATAGTCTCAAAAATGGTAGCATTATGTTTTGGAGACTTAGTACAGTAAAAGCTTGTTAGTTTGAATTTCAAAGAAATGCTTAGAAGTTTTAATTAATCAAAGTTTGAACTAAGGAAACTCAAAGGAAAAGGGTCAGTTTTGCCTCCGCATAGGCCCGGCAATGCTTGGAGCTGCCAAATCGTTTGAGCTGTTGTGCGTGGGCTTACCAGAAGTCATGATTTCACCCTCTTAGCTGACGAAGAGGTGTATGACAGTGAACGCCTTTGTAACCTGCAACACAGATGGCTACACTGATGTTCCCTTTCCTTTTACATTCTTTTCATTATCATTTTACAGTTGAATTGGGATATATCAAATTCAAAGGGGATCATAAAGTAGTTCGATACAGTGAAACCCGTTTAAAACGAACCCACATACAGCGAAATATTGTCGATATCGAACTCACGAAAAATTTAAATAAAAATGCACGTAAAAAGTACTGTTTATAACAAACAACATATTGGCTATATCAAGCATCCCCCCCTCCCCCGGGAAGGCTTCCAAAAACGCGCCAACAATCGTCTTCTAGCCTGTCCCTCTCCCCCCCCCCCCCCCAAAAAAAAAAGTAGGAAAGAAAATTATAAAAGCTCAAGCCGCTAACAAAATTGAGCGTAAAAAAGCCATTCAGAAAGGGAGAAAGCCACAAAAAAAAAAAAAAACACTCTACATGCACGCATAGAAAAAAAAAATTTCATCCCGAAGCGGTAGCCCACGAAGAGAAGCGATTCAGTAGAAGAGATAAACTACAAAAATAAAAAAAAAATCTGTGCTCATGCAAAAAAAAAAACAAAAAAATATTGCGCGAGTTACAAGGTGTAAGTGAAGAAATAAGGAAGAAAGAGAAGCTCTCGCCTTACAACGAACAAATTGTGGAAGTTCGTTGTAAATGGTTTTTGCTATATCAAACTTATCAAAGCGTTTCCTGCTGTTCATTATAAACGGGTTTGACTTGTATATCCATAATTTGATATACAAAAATATGTTAACTTAAGCTCCAGTTGAAATTTCCGCGGCAAAGTTTGCGATCATTTACGCTGCCCTCCCTACGCGCGCGTGTGCCCTTCCCCTTGCTTTTGTCATCCTCCACTTTTTTTTTCTTCTTTTTTTTTACAACTGCTTTTTTGCTGCACGTATCCTTGTGCACATATGAAATGTCAGGGAAGCGCAGCACATGGCCTGGGAATGCTTGTTACTATCAAATTTGCAACTGGTGAACAAAAAGAGTTATAGTATAGCAATTTGCTGCCTGATTGGCAGTGCTGTCTCTGGCAATTCCTTTTGCATGATTGTGCACGGTTCGAATTATAACTGGGAGTGCCAATTTGGGAGCCAATAAATTAGTATTTTTATATATAACTGTCTATTCAGCATGGTCAGGCCATGGCATTTAGTTCCAATTATTCAAAAACTAAAATTAATGAGGAGCGAGTTCATGAGCTTTTGCTGTAACAATATTGGCAGCAAATTGCTATACTATAACTGACTTCATTTTCGTGGGCTCAGTATTTTGCATTAGTTTATGAAGTGTGGGTTTCAGAAATATGTTTCGATTTGAAGTGATTTTTTGTGTACTCGTTACTGTGGGGTGGTAAATATTTGCAGATCACTTGTTTGCAATATTTGTCAGGTGAGAAAATTTTGGTCCTTGGGAAAATTGAGGTGTTTATTGCATTTCCTTGTGCATCATCTTCGCCCATTTGTGAAGAAAAATCGGAGTGTCTACTTTTTTGGATCAGTTTCATGGTTCCCAAGGATTTTTCCTCATATTTGAGAGCCCATCATTGTGAGCGGCCAAGAATTTGGCCTAAAAACAGAGCTGTACTCTAAATCACAAGATTTGGCTAATTTGACCCCTGCACGATTTGCCGGAAAGTAAAGGAGTGAGCCTTCTTATGGTAGCCAGCAGTTTTGCGTAACTTATACTACATCCCATTTTTGGTTGGCGACAGGTCCTCGACTATGACTACTACGGAAGTTACGAGAATAAAAAGCACGAAAGCGACACCTACGGAGACAGGCTGAAGATGGACTACACTTTCGGTTTTCCAAAGCACCATGAAATCGTAAGTTCAATTATTACAGTAACCTTCGTTATGTAGTACAGCCGAATCTCGTTAATTCCAACTCGAGGGGGACCAAAATTTGTTCGAATTAAAGAAAGCTCATTAAATCGAGCACTTACGTGCAGCGCTGCGTTGGGTGGGGCATGTGCACTGAGCTAACACGTGAGTGACGAGTTCCGGGACATTTATTTACACCGATCACCAGCGGAAGTAATCTGTGATGCATGCCTGTGCATGGTTCCTCATTCGTGAATCAACAACATCGCTTGGAGCTTGGAGGCTAGCTCTAACGCGGCATCAGCATTTTCTTGGCACCAGCATTCTCTTGGCACGAGAAGTAGCGCGCGGTTGTGTCCAGCGCCCACGCTACGTCAGTTGCACTAGGTGGGGGCATTTCTTTGCTGGCATCAGAATCTTTGACACTTAGGGTTGAAGGGTCTTCAGGTGTGGCCTGTTGAAGGCACGTAGCCTGAATGATCTTGGCATCGGTTATCCATGACGCTTGGAATCCAGATAACATCCGTCGCTCGCCCGCTGAAAACACTCCGAAGCACAGCAACGCACAAGTGCAAGGCAAGAAACATAACTCTCCGCGGCCACCGAAAACACGCCGAACCGCAGCAACGCACGAGTGCAAGTCAAGAAACGTAATTATCGCGCTCCCGCCGAAAACTCGCCGAAGAGCAGCGGCGCAGCACCGTCGCCGTGCATGAAAGAAAACGACATCACGGACAAAAAACGTGGGAACCCACTATGAATGCACATGCCACAGGAACAAAAAACGCGGATCGCAGACGCAGCAGACCCGTATTTTACGATGCAATAAACACGCGGGATCAACTTGCACGGCACGTGAACCAATTTCGCGCGCACATATAATGCACACAAACTCGTGAACCCGCAAGAAACCCAGTTTGCCCTTGAAAATGTTTTCTACATATTAAGGGGGGACATAAGTCTTTGGAGGCAAAAAAATTCCTAAAATTTTATTCTTTTGAAAATGACAATGTAGACTTCTACAGCCATTGCTTTCCTGAATCTACCAGGTTTTTAATTTCGTGGATGAATATTTGAGCTATAAATCAACTTATAATGTCTATGCAGGCTGAATGTACATTGAAGTTGACTCTAGAACACTGTTTTCACACGACACAATTTTTTGAGTCGTTGAAAATTTGCAGGAGGGATATATTAGCATCTAGGGCAGAGAGAAGTATAATTTTTTCTGAGGCATGTAGCTAAATTTGTGAAGCATAAATTGTTGAGAGCAGAATTTTTAATTAAGGTCTAAAAATACTTTAATTGGTCTTTTGTTCCAATACTTGTTAAACACACATTGAGCATTGAACTTCAATGTGTGATAAAATCACTAATAATGCGTTAATCTGAAAATTGCCTCCAAGATTGTCTTCTCTATACTTTTTAGCATCTAGCTATATGTTAAAGAGGATATTTTTTGAGTAGTTTTTTTCCTATTGTTCCTCTAAACAGAGGCAGGTGAGTTTTAATTATCCTAAGGACAATTTTACTGACTGAGAAAATGATCAAATATTTGAAATCAGCACGAAAAGTTGAATAAGCTTGTTCAGTTTCATTGGGTTTTGTCGTAAAATAAGCAAAAAAGCTCTAAGATTAGTGTTGCCCCTTAATGACATTCATATTAAAGGGGCACTGACACCCCAAAGGTCGTATTTATTTGTATTGTCTAAAACGATGCAAGTTGCAGCCATAAACACGCAAAAAAAAACGCATCGCGAAAAAAAATTTTCCTGCGCGCACGCGCGCCTTTTTATTTTTGCCGTTTGATTTTCCCGCCTCTCGCCTCCTCGCTTCTTTTGATCGGTGACGTCAAAAATCAGGAAATTTAGAAGCTTTGTAGGCGGCATCTTTATAACATTTAATGACGGCAATCCTAAAACATGTTTTTTAACGCAATTGCGAACGCACTACGGCCCTTCTTTTTGAAATACCAAAAATCGGGAGTTCGTTGTGGTGCCGTCTCCTGGATTTGTATCCTCCAACGGAAAACAGGCGACACCGCTCAAAACCAGTCCGCCGCAACGCCGGCGCTAGCCGGCGCTCGCTCCTTTCCTCCTCGCTTTGGGTCGCCATGGCAACAGCAGGGAGTGGTGACAGGAAAGGGGACTCTCAGGTCTCCGCAATTTTTGACGTCAAGGCACCGGCGCCGATCGCGCGGGAACTTCGAATTCGGCATTTGGAAATTGTTTTTTTACTTCACGAATACTGAATTCCCAAATTTCAAATTTTGAGGGTAATGTCCCGGCATCGTTTTCGACCGTTTCGGATAATAAAAAAAAATATGATTTTGATGTGTCAGTGCCCCTTTAAGGAGACACGACTAATATTCATTACAAATGAAGTGGAATAGATTTAACAGACTTGCAACAAATATAAATCAGTCTCCAGTTGCAGGAAGGCAGTGTGAGTTTTAGATAATTTTGCTGTGTTTGATTTTTGCTTAGTAATCAAGACCATTGTAATAAACTCTAAAATATTACCGCACATATGAATCAGCTCTAAAGAATTGGTGGACCTTTTTTTAATATTTGAACATTAAAATAGAATAGGCACCTTTCAGAGGTTCCATGCTGATAGTTCGAAGGTCCAAACCCACTTATTGAGAGCAAAAGAACACACTGCAAAACATGCAGGTCCTTAACTGCATAATGATCATGAAGCTGAATTCCCGGGTTTTTGTAAGGTTCTTTGTTTGATGACCTTATTGGTCTAGATATTCACAGCTTGCAATAAAGGGCAGGCCACTGAAGAGGATATATTGCAGCTTTTATGTAAACAAAGCTCCATTTTGTAATCATAATGTTTGAAACCCAAGAATGTGGTGATTTTGTACCATTTTGTAACTTGGTTCCAAATAACCACCACACATGCGCATTGCTCAACCTTGAAGGAGTGCTTCACCCTATGTACCCGTGCACTGCGGGAATGTGACATAGTACGTCTTCGGTAGCAAAGCACTGGAGCTAACTAGACAATTCTGTCAAACATACTTATATTTACAAAAGTTGGCAAAATTTGGAAGTTAGGAGTGCTAATGTTCAATTTACAGGGTCTAATAGAATACATTAACGAAGTGGCACATTCCTGGACTTCCAGGGGGTTGTCTGGCTGTGTGACACCACTCCAGGAATCCTGTGTGCCCGACGGGCAAAGACTCGGTTGCCACCTTATTTTGCAGATCAAGTCGGAATGCCTGGGTTGCCGAAAGGGTGTCGCAGCCTTCAACATGTCCTACTTCGGCAAGTTTTACATGACGGGTCCGGACGCTCAGGCCGCTGCTGACTTCATCTTCACCAACAACATGCGCAAGCCTGAAGGTAGTGTGCAAGCTTACCCTTCACATGCTGTGTGACTGTTTGCTTGTATCAGCAGCTTGTGTCATACCTGCTTCCTCTTGTTTAATTTTTAGCTCGCGTTTATCCCCTTTCGTTTAATCATTTCAACTGAACTAAGGCTCGTATCGAGGTCCACAAATAAATATTTTTTCCAATCGGTTTAATTAGCTTTATAGACAGCATTAAAAGTATCAGTTTATTCCTGTTTTAGTGGAAACATAGCCTTGCATAGATGAGGTGTTAGAGGAAGCAACACTCATACAGCAGTTTATTTTACGTGGAGCTTCACAGCTATGGACAACTACCTCGTTTAATCAAACACAGGTCAACATTTTTTTCTTCAGAATTGTTATTTATAATTAGGGGTCGATCTATAATTGCAACCAAAGAATGTTGACCTGTCAGAATGAGCCAAATTACCGAACCTGTAGAGCTAACCCAAATATTTATGAATTTGCAGTTAGTTCAAAGGAGGGATGTGGTCCTGGCAATTACACAAACGAGTTTATGGGGGAAAAAAATGTAAGGTGATTCAAAGTTCAGGTTTGGAAACTGGTTACTTCCGAGAATTGTTTCACGTGCTCGAGACGCCTGGCAACTTCGGGAGCATGAATATGCCTCACCATTATGCCGACCCAACTTAAATCGCACCCGTGCACACTTTATCACTTTGATCTACCATGTGCGTGGTCAAAAAAAAAAAAGGGAACGGGCGCAGTGTGCAGCTAGGCCACCAGGCAGCCAAGCCAATTAAGTGGCCAAGCCACACTGAGCCAAGCCAGCACAACTGCGGGCACACGCACGACACAGTCATTCTTACTGAGTGAGGTCGGTGTGTACAGCCAACAAAGCTTGGTTTGAGGCGTTATCCAGCCCTATCAGATGTTTTGCCGTCGAATATATTGATGTCAACAAAGCTCAAACATGTCGTGGCCTCTAGTCTGCTTCAAAACCGTGAAATTGTGCTAGTGGTTAGGCCTTTGAACGGTTACATCACTTTCTGTGCCTAGTGGCCCAAGGCCGCTGATGCAGAAACTGCTTGTGGTATCACAGAGGACAATTTTGTATTTTCTTTGGCGAAAAAACTGCCGAAGGCACCCGTCCCCTAAGAAACATTTGCAATCTGCGAAGCGTAGTTAACAGTTTGTGTCTTCATTAGCAGAATGTTGCACGTCTCCTAGAATAGAAAGCAAACTGTTTGAGTGTGTTTGTTTTTTCATTCAAAGTGCTTTCAATTTGAAGCGTTTCGCCGTCCCCGTAAGCTTCAAATTATTGAGATTCGGCCATAATCTGATTGAATGTGCATTGCTCGTGCAAATGACTAAGGAAGTAACCAAAACTGCAACTGTGCTCTCCCACAGTGTCTAGGGAGTATTTTGTAACTTTTCCAAGTTGCAGGTTTATAATCTGGATACCAGTTTTCCCAAGGAAACTTTTATGTTCTTCTCTTCATAGGCGGAGCTGTAGTAGTTTCATGGCCAGCAGTATGGCTTGTGGGGCTGGAGCCCCCTCCCCCCCCGACCCCCACCCCCACCCAAAATGCAGCCAGCCCTGTAATATATCCATGCATTATGTCCCTCTCCCCGCTTCTCAAGTCAGAGATCCCAGCCATTCCAGTCTCCACCCCCGCCTCCCCCCCAAAAGAATTCTTGGCTATGCCACTGAGTAGTAGGTTCATCTGTCGAGCTTAGATGCATCTCCACCGTTACCGCACTGTCATAGATTTTAAAGCACATTGGAGCTGTTGTCAAAGCCAGCGCAGAGTAGACGAAGCACGCGACAACACCTCTGAAACCCCAAACCCAAGAGCGCCAAGCCACCGACGCTTTGTTCTTAATTTTACTCCAATAGATCACTTAGTCTGGCTGGTCACATCTCCCGATTGCACAGACGAAGGGTGTGAAACCTTTACCCTTAAGTGAGATTGAGGAAGCTCTTAAACACGACCCGAGTATGCCCATATTTTCCCATTGGCCAATAGCGAGACGGCATTATGGCAGGAAACTCTCGACCATTGCTGTCACACGTTCGTCATTCATTCTGAGCATTATGTCCCCCTCTCCACTTCCCAAGTCGGTTCCCAACCATTCCAGTCTCCCCCCCCCTCCCCACCTTAAAAGAATTCCTGGTCGGCACTGTTGGTACTGCCCTTCAAGTCTGGAAGTTCGAAGTAACCAAAACACGTGCACAAGTGGTTTGTGCTTAGCAAATATTTTTGCATTGTGTCTTTGGGAAATTAATTGAAAATTCCCGATTTGATTGACACATCTGAGAGTTCAGGTTGAGCAAGTTTGCATTAAGGGAGTCTACTGTACTTTTTGACAACAAACTTGAGTATCTGCTCAAACAAGTGCTTCAATGAAGTTTGTGAAAGCCATAGAAGCAAAGGGAGTTTGATGTCGACCATACTTCTGGGGTGGTTTCATTCAACAACTTCATGAATAGCCTTTTTTTTTAGAAGTATATGGGGCTGCACCTTGGTCTATAACTTTTTTATTAAGTTATCGTGATCATGTGGTTTTGATGGCATGACCCTGGTTACTCTCAACAGCTTGTACTGCTTTCTCAGTGAGAGTTGTTGCGTCCGACGCTTTTGTCATTTATTTGCCTTGGTCTGTGCAGGCTCCACCGTGTATACCTGCATGCTCAACTCGAGGGGAATGGTGGAGGCTGACCTGACTGTCAGCGCCATTCATCCCGGTGACGGCTTGGCCTGTGACCCCAGTTTTGACGGTAAGCCCCCTCGAGCAATGAACTCTCAATGCCTGTCGAAATTTCGGTTCAGAAGGAGATAATGATTTTCATTGGAATTACAATACTTTTGTGAAGCCTATATGGGGGGGGGGGGGGGGGGGGTCTTCAGTGAGGAATTATTGACATGCAATAACATTTTCATATATATTCACAATTTTGGTGTGACATACCTTAGCTTTTTAATCGATTTGCAAAATTGGAAAGTTTACTTATGTTAGGTTGCAGATGATCATCAAAAAGGCAATGTTGCAGTTTCAAAAAGTAAGCATTCTAGTAAAACACCGATCATCCACCGCTATCAGAATAACCACCCACCTGCTAGTTTTGAAACATTTGGAAATAATTCGAGAGCATGTGGTCGTCTTTGCCTTCGTTCTGATCAAACTATTTATTCCCGTATTTACATATTTAAATAGATGTGGCCAGTGTGGTCAATCGCTTCTCCAAGCAAACAGGTGCAAAGCTGTGAAAATCAGCCTATAGTGCGCCCCTTCAGCCTTTTTTTTTTTTTTTTCGCACCTGAAATTATTACGCACTTATGCACTTATCCTACAGTTTTTTTAGGGTTATTTCCAAGTTTTGGGTGCATGCTTGCTTAATATTTTAAAGTAGTACAGTTTAAATTTCGGGCAGCATTGGTATTGCAAGGGAAAGGAAGCCTTGTCTCGACATGTCCAGAAGTTCAGACATCGTGCCAGGCTCATGTCATGGTTATGGTTGTTGATTAAAAACTATGCAGCTTTTCTCCTCCTGTTTCTGCATAAAGTACTTGAAATTTAAGTGTTTAGGGATCAGAGTCTGATGACTTTTTTGTCAATTGTCAAATAAGACACCACAGCATCAGTGGAATCTCGTTAATTCTAATTCTCTTATTCAAGCTTGCGGATAATTCAAACTAACATGCAGGTCCCGTCCTATCTGTTTCTAGGAAGGAAACTCCCGGTAATTTACTGTATTTTAGTGCGTATTACCCGCCCCTGCATATAACCCACACCCCTAACTTACGATTGTTAGAAAAAGAAAAAAAAAAGGCCTCGCATATTACCCGCATAATTACCCACGGAAAGCAATGTCAAAGTCATCAAAAACAATACCTTTATTGGAACATTATTCATCGCTGCAGTCACTGCAGCTATCAGTTAAAGAATCTTCATTGTCCCAAAGAGCCTCGTCATCCATGTCGTCTAGGCGATTGCTGATACAGCACTTTCTAAAACTCTTGCGAATCATCTCTGCAGGAATCGCCTTCCATGTGTTGATAATCCACTTGCAAAGTACTGCTATGTCAGGTTTGTGGATCCGGCCCGTCAACGTGAGGTCGTACTGCTCCTCGGCAATCCACTCCGTGTACATGCACTTCATATGCGCCTTAAAAGGCTTGTTCAAGCAAACATCCATCGGCTGAAGCACGAATGTCATCCCGCCTGGAATCATGACGAGGTCCGTCTTGTCCGCGAGACGGGTCTTCACTTCCTTGGTGTTGTGGCCCCAGAACGCGTCCAGCACTAGCATTGACCTTCGCACTAACATCGCACCCAGCCTGTTCTCTTATGCGGTTTTCAACCAGTCGACGACAAGATGACTGTTCATCCAGGAGTCGTCCTCCGCACGCACAACTATCCCGGAGGGCAAATCAGTGGAAAGCGTCTTGTGCTTAAAGATCACGTATGGCCATAGGTTCGTGCCGTCTGCTAACGCGCGCAACATCACTGTGCGGCGCAGTTTCAAGTTGCCGCCCGTCAAAATGCTCACCGACTTGGAGCCCTTTTTCTGAAGAGAGTGTCCAGTGGCATTTCAAAGTACACTAGAATTTGGTCTGCATTACCAATTTGCGAGTACAAGTACTCGTGTCGCTTTCGGAGCTTGATCACGTAGCGCTGGAAGTTGACTAATTCTCCTCATAGACGTCAGGAAGTCATTGGCATAAGGTCGTCCACCTCTTGATAAAAAATCCTTGGCATTTCATGAATCGGTGAAACCACCCGCGGCTGGCACGAAACTGGTCGCGCAATATGCCGTCTTTTTTTTCGAACCTCAGAGCTTTGATGTGGGCCATCTCTGTTGATACGGCGTGGCCGCGGCCTCTCTTCTCCTCATTGAACTCCGCCAATTTGGGTTCTATCTGGGGTAGGCTCCAGTCTTGGGACCGTGGGAGGGCCTGCGGTCACGGCTTGCACTTTAAAGATCACGCTTCTTTTGCTCTCCACTCGCGTGTACAGGATTCATCGACATCATACCTTCGGCCTGCCGCACGGTTCCCAATCTTTTTGGCAACGCTGATTATTTTGAGTTTCTGCTCTGCCGTAAAGGACTGCGGCCGAGCACAGCTCATGTCGAACGGAACGGGACGACCAAGATGGCAAGATTGACGTTTCTTGCTTCGTTCTCCCTTCGTGGGTGCGCGGCCAGTCCAGTGTTTTGGCGCGCAGACAATGCAAGGATGGCAACTCCAAAAAATAAGATAAACAAAGAGAGACGGGAGAAAGTACCTAAGAAGCAACGGCTAAGAGGGATTCTGGGGAATATACGTCCCTACCGACCATGCGGCTCTGTGCGTACTGTGCCGAGCCGCATACTGTGAAGCCACACTCGCTTCAAAATTCGCGTATTACCCGCACCCCAACTTTGCCTTGGATTTTTTTTAAAGTTTTGATGTGGGTAATGCGCGAGAAAATAGGTAAACCTTGCATTATTCAAACGAAATTTTGGTTCCCTTTGGGTTCAAATTAACAAGATTCCACTGTACTTTATTTTCCTGCTAGAATGCAGGAAATTTGTGACTTGGCAAGCCACAAATGGTTGTTTATTCACTCGAATAAACAGTACACTATTGGTGCATTAACCAGTCTCGTTTTGTTTGCTGCGAAAAGGTGAACAATGAATGTTTTACAGAAATGTTTGAAAGTAGTAGACCCTTAAAAAAACCAACGGAATAAAGAAAAAACAGATAGGAGTCAATTTTATTCTAGATTACAGACAACTGAGAACCACTTTATATGTTTATGTGCAGCTGTCTGAATCAGTAGTGTACATGTTGCACATTCTTTAGAACTTGTTTACTTGCTGTAGGATTGCGAAGTGGGTCAGTTGGTTCATGACCTGATGTTTTGAAAACCAAAAAATATGGAATATGCTGGATGCAACATTCTTTTTTTGTGTTTTAGTCTTTCTTTATAAACATGGTGTTAAAATTTTCAATTTCCACCTCCTGCATAGTGCTCGGTAAACTTGTGGTACTGTTGGCCTTAAAAAAGATGAACACAAGGGAGTGATGGCGCGGCCGGCAGAAAGGCGACACGGGGCGCTACGATTGTGTAGGCACACTGGGGCTGCTATTACCTTATTAGTCCACTCTCTGATGCATGGGGGACGTCAGCACACTGAAGCTGTTCCCATAGTGCGCTTTCCAAATAACACAGCGTGACTGTGCACATCTGTTTTGTTTTCGCTCGCTCCTTGAGAGCAGGGCTATCGTTTTTACAGCGGAGCTGCTATGGGCTAGGTTCCCGAGGATTGTGTCCGGTACAAAACACTTGTCAACAAAAACGCCTCTGGACAGCTACTGCCATCTATAAGCGACGGCGACAAGCACACAACCAGTATGCCAACCTTTCCAGCTATCATAAAAGAATGGATAGTTGGGCAGCGCATTGGTGGGAATTCATCGTAGGAAACAGCGTGAAAAACGGACGACGACAGAGAAGAAGCACACGTAACGAGCGCAGCGCTCTTCACGTGTGTTTCTTCGTCCTCGTCTGTTTTGCGTGCCGTTTCCTACGCTTTTATCAGTTTCTGTTCGGACTTAGGATGGGTCGGCAGTGCACCCTTTTGGGGATAGAAGACTTGCTGCGGAAGGAGCAGCGATGTACGCAGCAGCACGAACGGCTCTGTAATCGCCGCAAAGCCGCTGTCACCTCGATTTCCACTGCGTCAAGCGCTTCAGAATCCCTTGCCAAAGAAGAGCACATCGCTCGCCTGGAAAGCTGCCTCCGAGAACAGAACCAGCAATGTAAAGGGTGCCGCCGGGCCAACACCACGGAAGACGATCAAGCCACAAAGGTCAAGTGCAAGCGCGAGGCCCGGCGATGACTGCACTCCACGCCGGCTGAACAGTTCCCGGGTGCGACAGCGATGTTCCGGAGGGAGTTCGTGGATTACCTGTTTGGCGTCACGTGCGCCATGTGCGAGTAACCACGATCGGCGGCGTGTCGGACAAGAAGAAACGGGAAGCGTGCGCGTCGTGGCAGTGTATCGAGTACAGCTCTGCTGGTCTTTCTTCTTCACAAGAGTGGAAAGGCTGAACGTTTTTTTATCTGCATCTTACAGTCATTTACGATTTACTGACGCTCAGCTGTCAACTTCAGACTTTCTTTTCCAGCCTTCTACACTTTATCTTATTGATTGTGTTGCAATGTGAAAGATTCGCGTTTTAATAAGGGAAATACTCCGTCTTCCATGCACAAATTTGAAACAACAAATAAAATATATATCACAGCAAAGGCTGTGTTGATTATAACAGAAATAGAAAGCGTTGTCTTACGCATGACCCATCACCTTCAAAAGCAGGCCACCGTAAAAAAATACAATAAAAAAATGACTAGAAACAATAACTCTCTCCAAGCACCCCTGTGATTCAAAAGTGGGAACGTCCCTTTCACTCTTGCCCCCGTGTTATCGCGAAATACAGCGCTGCGTCTGGCAGTTTTCCCGCGCTGGCCATGCATCACCCGTGTTCATCTTTTTTAAGGCCGACTTTACATGAAGTAAACATATACTATACTGAGGCATAACTGAGGCATATTGAAGTTGTTGCCTATGCTGCCGCATTTCTTTTGCAGGCCGGGGTTTCTATGTGGCAGCTGCGGGAGCTAGTGCAAATCACAGCCTTTCTCACATCCGATCTGTGGTCCAAGACCGCAAGTTCCGTGTTTCTGTTGAAGACCGGTCGGGCTCCATGGGGATGCTCAGTGTTCAGGGACCCAAAAGGTTGGTCGACACATGCTTTCACACGTCTGCTTCTACGCAGTTCTTGTTGGGCCAGTAAACAAACAGTTTTTGTGTCTGTAGGAAAAGCTGGTTGTTATGTGCAATCACTACCCTGAAACATCTATAAAGCGCCTGCCTAAGCGTTTGAGATAGTAACGAAAAAATACGGCATGGATGCTTGTTAGTTTCAGCAGCAGAAAAGCAGCTGGGGCACATGGTAGGGTGGGCCCTTGCTTGGTCTGACGGAACGGCATTAGAGCGGTGTAGGATTGAGTAGAACCCTGCGTTACACCACCACTTTTGTGACAAGCTTCACTGCTTTGCACCGGAGCTTGCGCATGAAGCTTCCCATTTTGCACCAATGTACGAGATTAAAGCTTTACCCTTTGCACCGCCGTACTTGGAGAAGTGGCGGATGCGGAGGAGCATCTCAATTTGCTTCGTGGCCTCGAAAGCTTGCTGGGGTAGGAGCTCGATGTGCTCCTCCTTCACTGTTGTTTCAAATGTTTTAAAGGCAGGGTATAAGGACCTGTTGCAACTTTGGTACATTCATGGTATTTTACAGTAAGCTGGGCAGGCGATCTAAGTGGCAATCACATATCCAAAGTCCATTACCTCACCCCATGAAAGCCGTCAAGGGGGGTGCTAAGGATGTTCTCAAATTGATCCAATTGAGGAATACTTGAGAATATGTTTTTACTTTTAGCCCTTTAAGAGCCACATCCAAGTATGTACCCGGGCGCATTCCCTTGTAGTTTCAGTTTCGCTTTGATCTCTGACCCTCTCAACTGGCCGGTCATTTTTTTTATGTGTAGCGGCATGTATGATGAAGCGGTGAAAACAATGTTTTATCTTCTAGTGTCACTTTTTAATGGCATGTAACTTTGTTTTGTTCAGGCAACTTCTGTTTCGGTATGCTCCTTTGTTGCTACAGAATGCTGAATCTGTCATTGAAGTGTTCGCTTCATGGCAAACACTGAGGCTTAGGAATTACTAATGTACTCGGTATCTGGTGACTGAAAACAAGGAAGTTACAGTAGACTCTCATTAATTCAAACTCCAGGAGGTCACAGATTTTAGTTTGAATTACCAGAAGATTGAATTATCAGAAATTCATCTAAATATAATCAGACAACATTATGATTTGTTACATGGATAGCTAGTTTCCTCTACATAGGCCTAATTATAAGCAAGTACAGGCATAACACATTGGTGAAAGAACTGTGACGTTAAGTTTATTCATCCGGCAAAAAAGTTGTTGATTGTGGACTGTTTAGTCAGTACATGAGGTCTCAAAACAAAATTTTCAATACCAGGCAACGCCAAGTAGCTCTTTACGGGACTCTTCCTTTGTAGACAGAAACTTCCAAAGCTGAGCAATATGCTCAAAAGTCTTTGCAGCTGTGACAGTTGGTAGTGGGTCATCCCTTTCTTCATTGTCATCTTCACTCTCACTCTGTACTGTGCTGGCATTATTTCCTTATGTCCTCTAATGAGTCATCACGACAAGCACACACATCGTCGTCAAGACTAGCATATTCCGCCAGCTCGGCGTTCACATTATGGGCTTCAAGGCCAGAAAGCATGATGCCAGTGAGCTGTTCCTCACCCTCGATGTCGTCTTGGTCATCTTTGCTAGTCTTGAAGCACATAATGTGAACGCCGTTTTCCGCTGATGCGTGCCTTCTTGAGCCCCGTTGAGTGCGCTTCTTTCCGAGCACCGGTGCACTGCGGAGAAGCAACACTCGCAAAAACAAGCTCCGCGGGTATTGCTTCTCTGCGGTGCACCGGTGCTCGGAAAGAAGCGCACTCAACAGGGCCGCGAGAACAAAAAAGTATGAATTAAGCGAAAACGATGTTCGAATTAAGCGGCTTATAAATACATTAAAAACATAGCGGGACAACCAATATTTTTAGATCTGTTTGAATTAACTGGAAGTACGAAATATCCGAGTTTGAATTATCATGAGCCTACTGTACAGTTTCCTACTTAACAGAGGCTGAGTAAGTCCGCTCAACAGAGGAGCCTTGGTGTGGGAGGTCGAGGTGCCACTGCACAGCACCATGCCTTGTAAAGTGCAATACGAGAAATTCGTTATAGGTTGGGGGCGTGCAGACATCAATGAACTTTTTGCTCATAAAATATTGTATGTTTATTTTTTAAATAAATATTCTGCACAGAGCATGCTACAGTGTTACTGAAAGAAAAATTTTCTCTCGGCATGCGGAAATAAAGAAACCTGCCACCTAAAGGGTTGAGAAACATTTGATGTCCAAACTTTTTTTGTCATGTTTACCTACAATTGCTTTGTGCTATTTTATACTAACAGGGCTAAAACACAATAAAGAGTAGACTTTATGAAAACGCATAATTCAAAAGCACCCTTCATCATTTCGGAATACAAGCCGTTGTGTCGCATAAAAAGCACTAACTGGGGCACTCACTGTAATTTCAACCATGGTCTTTCTCAGATTGACTTCAGAATGTTTACTTAAAGATGAAAAGGATTTCACAAGTCTTATTTCATTATAACTTAACAAGTCTATATCCAAATCAAGCCGTAGACGAGATTTGATTTGGGAAAACACAGTAGGCTCTTTTATTATTTTACATCAAATCTTGCGTTTGAGGCTGACTACATATCATTTGTTTGTCTATCCTGTCTTGTTGAAAATTTAATTCTGTGTTTGATGTTGACTGGGACTGCTTTATAGGCTGAATCTTAATATCATCTTAATATCAAATTGAACAATATGATAGTTGGTAATTCCAGCACAGCTTTCAAAATAAGGCAATCTATATGCTTCCGAATTCTTTCACTCTGTAAATGTCTTGGAGCTGTTCACTTCATACCAATATTAATGTTAACCCAACTTTGGGTTAGAGATGTTTATGCCACAAGTGAAGCCTTTTCTGTGTGTTCCAGTTCTCCTTATATTCGGTCAATGACTCATTTAATCCTGTTCGCAAGCTATTCTTAATCTGTAATGATTGCAATTATCTTGCTTTTTCGAAGGCCTACCTGATATACAATTTTGTTTTTCTCTCTCTCCTCTCTGTTTGCTTTGTTTCAGTCGCGAGCTGCTGCAGTCGTTAACAGATGCCGATTTATCCGACACCGCCTTTCCCTTCTCCACGCACAAAGTCATCCAATTTGCGGGCCATAAGGTAATGCTGCCCCCGATTCATTTCTTGTCACCTCACTCATTGATGAATAGTGAGGAATGGGTTTTAATGTCTACTGATTGGTCTGAAGCAAGTCTCGTCTGCTCGTCTTCAAAGGTTAGGGCGCTGCGGCTGACGTTCGTTGGAGAGCTGGGTTGGGAGCTGCACATTCCATCGTCGTCTTGCGTCCCTGTGTACCGCGCACTCATCGAGGCTGGCTCAAAGTTTGGACTCATCAACGCGGGTTACCGGGCCATTGACTCCCTCAGCCTGGAGAAAGGTACGTCAAACACCTCTGGAAATGCGAACTGGTTTCTGCTTCGTCACGTGGCTCGTAAATTGAGCTGCATAAGTTGCAGTACGACCTTCCTCAATTTTAATTGTATATGCATCCTTTAATGCATCTCAACTTTGTCGAAAGGATACTGAAGGGATAATAAAAACATGCATGACTCATTTAGAAATAAATATATGTAATCAATTATAATCATAGGTGATAATAGGGGGTCCATATCTAAAATGGATTGTGGTATTTTTTCGCTCTAAATGCACCACTCTGGCGAGCTCTCCAAAAGCAGCCATTCAGGTGTGAGACGAATCTTAGGTCATTTGTTATGAGACCTTCAGCACTCTTGGGGGTGTAACCATGTCGCAATGTCACCGTCATGACTGTCACTCCTCTATTTGGCAAGTCTTCTTTCTCTGTGCTGGTGTGTGCATTCCCACCCGGTAAAATTTTGGTAGTCACTGAGTTGGCTCGAAATTGGTTCGATGCACTAATAGACACTTATAAACTAGTAACCCAAATTTCTGGTTTTAAATATCTTTTTTGCAACGTTACCGAAGTTTCGAATTTTGCCCCAGAAGCTTTACTGGCAATGCCGAAAACGTGACATTGGATCGCAGTGTGCTAGAATACGGGGAGGCGTGAAGACCGGCATGGCTGAGGTTTCGCGTGTAGGCAACAATCGCAGCGCTGCAGTCTTCATGATAGTTGCAAGTCGCCACACCCCTCCACAAATATTGCATCGGGTTTTAGTAACGACCCAACGTTACTAAAACACTCAGTTGGGAAACTGCCATAGAGACTTATCTGAAAAAGTGGCCCCGATCTGTCCTCGAGAACCGAGCTAATGACAAACACAATGCTGTCATGCTCTCGCTCCCTTATTTCGTCTGCAGCATATTTGTGTCGACGGCAGGGCACGCTGACAGGCATCATGGGGTGGCGGTTGTTGAAACTGCCGTGCAGCAGCCAATGGGAGCCTTGTCGACACGTGCCAGCCAGTGGGACCGAAGTCGAAATCCGTCAGCTTTATTCCGCTCTTTCAAGATCAAGGAAACTAGGTGCCGTTTGGCATGGTTTCATAGCTGGGGAGCTGGAGAAAGGATTTAAGGTGCCGTTTGGCGCAGCTTCAAAGCTGATGACATCGGTTCACTCCATGGGACCAGTTAATGCTTTCGCATTAAAAAGATAACACGGGTTGTCACGGGCACATGTTTATTGTGCCTGCAGAAAGCGGTCGAGGCTTCCTTGCAGACGCACTTTGCTAGATCGGAGTCACTTCTCTCCAAATTGCGAGAGGCTTCGATTGACAAAAGATTCTCTGAGCTACGTACATATTGTGTACGTACGTAGCACAAATGTATTTTTTCTTTTGATCTTGGTTAATGGTTGTTCTTGCAGTCTGTTATTTCAACATTTGGAATCTTGGCAAGTTTGTATTACTTGGGTGGACATATTTTTATTGATTGACACAATAGCAAATAGGCTGGTTTCATCCGGCACTTTAGAGGAACCATATTGATCGCCGGTGTGGGAGAGCTGGAGAAAGGCACCTCATCTCAACTGAAGTGTTGCACTGTGATTCACATGAATGTCTTCTTTATTTGTCCGAAGGGCAGACGTTTCAACCATTTTTGTTTTTATTATGAGTAATAACCTTTGTAAACGGAAGCAACTTCAACCTGAACCTTGGTCTAAAATGAATGTTCGGTTTTAATTCTAAAATCTTTATAACTATTTTTGTGTATTCCTATAAATAAACATAATCAGTAATATTTTTCAGTGATGATAATGCGCCCTCAATAATCGTCAAAGATGGGCTACCGGCTCATGCTACCATAACGTCAGTACCTTTATAAGTCAACATTTTGCCTGGTACTAGAGCTGCTCCATAAGGTTTATTGCTGCCTCCATCACAGCGTTCTGTCAAGAGTTAATTTCCCGCTCTGCTGCACTGCTGGGTGTAACAGTAACCACGAGTAAATTTTCTAGAATTCAAGTACAATTTCATTCGATCCTCGTGGTGAGCACATAGAGTTATTATAATGTACGCTAGAGGTTCGACTGGCGCTAGTGTCAATGCGACTTCCGTGACGCAGATTGAAGCAGACAGCAACCAGTCTACTTTTGAGGTGCTCCTGTGCATCCTATGGGAAAACGCGCGTGCATTTTGTCTCTTCGCGGGTAAATAACACGGAACACTTTGGTTATTTGGGTCTTACCGAATAACATGTACCTTGATTAACACTGTAAAAGTGTAATTGCTTTAGTTAGCGCATTTTTTTTCATCGGCGTAGGGTGTTTAGCTTCGCTACATTTCAGTCCCAAACGTGTGTTCCGCAACATATGTGCAAAAACAAGCGACGATTCAAAGCTATATAACAATCCAAAGCAATATAGAGTGTGTTCAAGACTCGCCAGCATTCCGGTGACGCTTGCATATTGATAATATGCCAGTCCTGTCACTATATGAAAATGATCCCGTCGTGCATGAGCGGATAAAAACCTTCAAAACGTAGAGAATAAAGTCCGTGGGCTATGAAAGGCCTCTCTTCGTATTGTTTTCTCTGCTGGGCAGCTTTTATCGCGCACTTGTTCTCAAAGATATCGAGCGCGCGGGTGATATTTTGAACGTAGAACAAGCAGCTTCGCTCAGGGAAGAAAGAATGAAGCGGTATTTTAAATCTGAATAGATTACGTGGCCTTCAATTAATTTTTATCGTACATGTACTGCGAGTTACTGATCCATGTTACTGCGTAGTTCTTGTCGCCGCTCTTGATTTTCCAGGTAAATTTCGCCGACGCCGCGTTCACGCTAACAGTGTCCGACAGTGAACATAACTACAGAAACGAAGCCGTTTTAGCACCGTTTTTAATGCTCTGAAATCGAAAGAAAAACGCCGTAACTGACCAATTCTTTCGTCGGCCTGACTGAGAAATGTTCCAAGCTACCTAGTACGTACGAATTATTTGGGATATTTGCTCTTATGATCGAGCGCAGAGAGAAAATGCACTCAAATGCATTACCGGAAGTAAATTTTCGACTGGTTGCTGTCTGCTTCAATTTGCGTCAGCACACTAGCGCCACTTGAACCTCTAGCGTACATTATAATAACTCTATGGGTGAGCAAAGACAGTGTTCGGGTTTCACAATACTAATTATTATTGGTGCAAGTCTGTTGAAGAGGGTCAGTTAGCTCCGTTGAGTGCGCTTCTGACCGGGCACTGGTGCACTGCGGAGAAGGGCATTTACGGAAAGGGAACACCCGCTTCCGTTTGCCTCGCTTTCCGCCATCAAAGCGAGATGATGCACGCGCACCATGTCGGACTGCTGAGGGGGAAAAAATACTTGGTGAACGTTCATGTGACGACCCAGTTTTACGGTTCTACTTTTATACAAGACCCGTGCGCGTTCTTCGCGTCGTGACTTGTTTCAAGTTTAAGATTTCATATAGCTGCAACGAGAGGATTTCTAAACCTTCTAAATTTGGTTTAGGCAAGCTTTGAACTATAGCTTAACTAAAAATAAACTCACAAGAAGGATCACCTCTATTTTCACATGAATACATATATGTGCTACACTGCAAAAGTGTTTTGAAGGTTTGCCGCTTCAGCGCAAATAAGACGAAAAACCAAAAGAATTAGCAAGAAATCGATGTTGTGTATGTGTGTGTTAAGGAAGGAGGGAGGGAGGGAGAAAGAAGGAAAGAAAGGGAAGAGAAGAGGAGAAGGAGGAAGCAAGCAAGCAAGCAAGGAGGCTGGCTAGTTGGCCTTAAAAATTAAAATCACTGGATGTCCCCTACCCCCGCCTCAAAAAGAAAAGCATCTCCCACTCTATCAACTGCGGGATGTGACGGGCGCAGCTCTCTGCTCTGCAGAGTTTCTGTGTACAGCATATCGAATTCCAAGGCAACTTTATAGCCCCAATTTTCTGGCGTTTCTGTACAATACATTTTTTTTTTTTTTACTCTTTATTAGCGCTTTTGTGGCATCGATGTAGACTCTCCTCGAACATTCCCTGCCGCCAGAGCTCGTGATTTGTGGCGGTCCCACACCAGCGGAGTGTCGAGAGGCTGTGCTCTCGTGTCGGTTGCAGCTCGTAATCCGCGTCGGGCGTTGACTTGTCGAGTCCGGAGTTGCGGCGCTTGGGCGGGCAGGCAAGCGCTCGCTGCCGTCGGCGCAGCCTATTTCCGCGCTCGCAGCATAGCGCGGACGGGCCGACAACGTATCGGGTTTCTTTTCCGACATACTGCTTCCATCCCCAGCGACATAAAGAGGCTCCTTGTTTCGGATGCGCCTCTCCTACGAGTAATCGTCAGAAAAAAGGAAGAAAAAAAAAATAAACCTGTAAAACACAAAACACACACTCACACATGTACACACACAGACACACACACGCACATTGTACGTACAAAACCAAGGGCCACAGATAACGGTGGCAGTGGATGACGTTTCTCAGTGCCCTCTTTCACGGTTGCCGTGTTTATGCTCTCGGTTTTGGAGTTTTAACCACTTGTTCCCGTTTTGTTCTTCGTGTTTGCCTGATCTCCCCCCAAACCCCGCTGTTCTTTTTTATGCTACCGTAGCATTTAATGGAAGCAGTGAACTCCTTTCTAAAGTTCATTCTTAGGTATAAACGCGCACATTTATGCAAAATAATGAGCAGCAAAAAAAAACAAAAAATTGCTGTTTTGGGGTTTTCGTAGTTCTGATGATGGTTGTCCAGGGGGCCGGTCGGACATTTCGGTGTAGGACGCTTCGGTGCTGACTTTTCGGTGCATGGGTTTTTAGGTGCATGGTCTTTTCGGTGCACAGATATATTGGTGTAAAAGAAAGTGGATATTCAGATGGTTGAAGCTTCCAACATTTCGTTAGTAACGCATCAAGGCAGGTATTTGCATGTTCTAGTATTCGAATTCGAGCATTATTTTCAAGGGAGCAGTTTTGGCTCGTAAATTCCAATTCAATTCTGAAAGAATTCGTCTAATTACTGG